AACTGGTAGCTTATAGCTGGTAGAAAATTTGCCACATTTGAAATAGTTATTTTTCATTGAGTCCCTACTCGAAGCAACAGTTTGCTACATACGCACAGGACAGAGCACCAGCCCTCGCTCCTTTGTGTTCTCTTCTAGACAAAGCCGCCGCATCTCAGCAACATCCCCCCACCTCCAGCAATGTAACCAGGACGTTGCCACCAGCTTGCCTGGTCTGACTTTTGTGAAAGCTTCTATTCTACATGCGCTTACTTAAGAGTAACTCCCCGTGAACGGCACGGCCCTTGCAAATAAGCTCGGCTAGGATCGGGTTAAGAGTCTTCTTCCCTTTCAACCCACTTGAAAGAATAACGAAAGAGAGACGCGCGCCGTTTGCAGCCGAGTCACTCCGATCCGTTTTCAGGCCTTCAATAAAACAAGGGCTCCACCCGCGTCAGCAGCTCGCCCGGTGACTACGCAGAGGGACCGCGCCGCTGCCAGTTTTCAGCTCTCAGCTCGCCCAGGAAGAGAGGGGACACGCCAGTAAGGGCAGGTTCCCCACAATTCCCCCCCCCCAAGACCGCGCGGTGGTACCGGCCACGCCCCTCCCCCCTCACCTGCCGGATGCTGCTCGTCTCGGGCACGGCGAACTCCTCTTTCTCTTTAGGGGTCTTCACGGTGACTTTGATAATCCGCGGCTCCGAGGCGGAGGCAGATGCGGCCGGTGCAGGGGTCTCGTTGGGGCTCTGGGGCCCAGGAGGGCTTTCGCCGCTCTCAGACATGGCGCGCGCGCAGGAAAGGGGGACGGACGGACAGCAGAGAGGCCTCCTTTACTCGTTAGCCGAGCCGCGCGCTGGATGTTGGGTAATACCGACCCTCCCCTCGCCTCTCACCCCTTCACAGATTCTCTCTCTCGCGCGCACACCCCGACGCTGTAATCGCTCTCCCACACTCGAAGAGTTCAACGGAAGCAGCCCGGCTCAGCTGAGGCGCCTGCTGATGACGTCAGGAATCGGGGAAGTTACTAGAAAAGGGGAACCGACTTGGCTGGCACCGGACAAATGAATTTGTCTGATACGCATGCGCTCAGATGGGCGGGCCAGAGAACTTCGTGGCGCGTGCGTATTTACTGCGCCAGTTGAGCGTAATAAAGGGCCCAGGCTAATATTGCCAAACGAGAATTCTATGTAGCGAGGAAATACATGCGCTTGCGCAGACGATTTGGATTGGTTATTAACATATGTGCAGCGCTTCGGTGGGTTTTCCCCATGCAAGCTAGTGTACAATTGTTTGTACAATCTCCCCGCACTTCCACGGAAGGAAGAAGTTATTGCTACAGCATTTCCGAACTTTTTAAAATTTTAATGCGCACTGGAAGTAAGTTCTTTCACGAATTATCGTGGTAGCGAAAAAACGTGCGTTTCACCTGTATCACAAACCAGCCCTATCAGAGACGCAACCTGCAAATATTCAGCTTGCCTTCATTTTCGTGTGTAATGTCGGGGGAATAAGGCCCTGGTATAGTAATGCAGAGAGATGGGATGGCTTGGTCTAGAGAAAAGAACAATAGTATTTCACGAGAAACCTGCTTTGAATCACACAAACACCCCTTCTCAGAACTGCCTGCTGTTTAAAGGACAATAAAATTGCTACATGAGTGACATCCAGGTAATGTCATTGTTACTATGGTGATAGCAAGGGCTTTTTACACACAGACTCCTCGTCTCATTGCCAACTGAATAAATTTGGGACAATTCATGCCTCTAGTTGTACTTTCCCATTATACACTACTTGCACAATTGCCATGAAGCTCTTCAGATTGGAAGAAGTAGCTGCTAAATCCAATCAACTCTTGTCCAGTATGTGTAGTCAAAGTTCTTTCCTTCTTTCACTGTTCCCTCCTGCTATGTTTGGGCTAAGTGTATTCAAGCAATTACCCTTGAATTGCTCAGTTTTAGAAGATAAACATTTATTGCTGTGGCTTCCTTCACCTTGAATGTTTGAAATTCATAAAGGAAAAGCAATGTGGGCCAAATGGTGTCAAATTAGTGTGGGAAAAAAAGTTAAACTCTCAGCTGCATTAATATTAAAGCAGGAAGTATGAAGGAAGTTGCAGCAGTGAACCTATGATGTGGACTTACTCACTTCTTGAGATACGAATAACAAAAAAACCTTTTGTACAAATCTTTTTTTCTTACATCTCATACACCTGTGTGCCTTGGGCAAGTGGGTAATAAAGCAGCAGCAGACTGAAGGGAGATAGGATGGACTGGGTGAGGGAGAAATGGGGCTGCCGTGCTGCCTGACTCCATGAAAACACATTCACACCAATACTACATGCTACAGCCAAGCCCCCTCCAGGCAATGCCATTCCTGAAATCAGGCAGCCACATAGCTGTTTGGGTTTTTGGTTTTGTTTTGCTTTTTTTTGTTTTTACAAACCATGGTAGGCAAGAATTCATGGATCCTTCCCATTGTGAGAATATACAAAAGAGGAGAGACAGAATTACTTGTGGAAACATTCTATGGGCATCCCTCCAACTGCAAATGGTGCAAACTGACAGCACTTTAAAACCACACCTGAAGAAGCCTTGGTTTATACCTTGCTGTTACAGCAATTGTGATTGCTGTTATGTCCTTCACAAAAATTGTATTCATTGCATTTCTATACTGCCATTAGCCAAAGCATCTGGTTGGTAGCCAAAACTTCAACAAAATGCAACACAGTAAAACAAAACTATTACCTTAAAACAAAATTAAACCATACTAGTAAAAGATAAGCCTTCACTGGGTAATTAGAATAGACTGATGTTTGAAAAACCTTGAACAGTAGGCTTATTAAGGTCTTCATACAGCTACTAAAATGGAAGTGCTCATCTCTTGCCCAACATGCACTAGAGGGTAGGCAATTGTCATCAGAACATGAGAACCATGCTCCATCAGACCAAAGGTTTATCCAATTTTTGTTTACACCATGGCAAACCAGTTCTTTGGGCAGCCCAGCAGCAGGACATAACAATAGCACCCACCCAGTCATGTTTCCCATGTTTTCATCCTGACTCTGGAATTAATATTTATTAATATGTATACCTCCCTCTATAATGTCCTCCCTTACTTACTTTTTATCTAAATTGGTGACAACCTGGTGTCCCTTTTAGTGTCTTCTGAGCTTGTCCGATGGAGGCATCTTATAAGAAACACTGTTATTCTGGTGGGAGAAGTTGGGATTTATTTCACTGAAATAAATGACACAAAGATGGCCAAGATCAAGTACTTTTCCATTTGTCCTCCTGTGGAGATTCTGTCATAAAGCTTCTGGGGGTAACTGCTTCTTTGTACCCACTATTCAGGTCAAGACAGCCTAAACTTGAGTAAACATAAGCTGTACAGTCTAAGTCTAAATTGTAAATTAAGTGTTAAACTTTACACTAAAGCAAATGCACACTCTTGACAAGACTCTGTGCTACTTTATCACAGCATGTTTGTGATAAAGTGCCTTGAAAGCCTCAATACTCTAAAGGTGGGAACATTTTGAACATTAAACATTTTGAACACTCATGCCTTGAAGAAATTTTCATCTTTCTATTGTTGTACTGTATCAGACTTAACTGTAACACAATATCAAATTGACTAGGGAGGATGTGAGAGAAAAGGGTTCCATTTCATTCTAGAAATGAGTTCATACCGTAAGGAGTGAAAACTGATGCAATGTGACATTGCTTGATAATTAAGCCCTTCAAACTGACTGTGCAGAGCAGTTCTTGTCAGAAACAGTGTGCTTGAACATTTCAGTTGGTGCTTAGGCAGAGATACTTTCTCACGTTATCACTGTCCTGCTTTCCCTTTCTTGCTTAGACTTTCCTCACTACTAGCCTATAAGTGTCAATGCATTCACTCTGGGGTGGTCATGTGAAAAAGGAAAGACTAAAATGAAAATGGTCACAAAAGCATGGTAACAATTGAGTATCATCTCACTGTTTCAAACCTAACTGAAATTACACACGCCAGGGTCATAAAAAAATGTCAAAAAGTTTTATTGACTGATGAAAAACTAAATGTAGTATTACCACAAACAAGGTTTGAGTCTCACTGTAATGCTAGTTTTCAGCTTCTCTTCTTTATACAAGAAGTGCAACAGACTGAATATTCAGATTGTTAGGCAATTAAATTTATTCTAAATTCTCCAAACTGCATAGTTAAGCAGTAGTACAAATATACATTTCTGCAAAACCCCTGTATATCAAGATTTTTTCCTTTTTGCTTTGCTTTGAATTTGGTGTGAGCATGATCACCTGCACTGGTCCGACTCTGAATTTCTCTTCCCTTTTCTTCCACCCTGTAAAAGAAAAGTGAAAGGAAAAATACATCTAGTTATGAAATATCTAAGTATGAACAGATATGAAATATGAACAGATATGAAATAAGTATAAAATATCATATCTAAGCATGAACAGAAAAAGCCAGTTTTTTCCCATAAGCAGGGCTTTAGCAAAAAAGCACCAGCAGTTTCTCTTTAATGTTATTACCTACAGAAAAGCCCATTGCAAAGATATAGATACTACTCCTTAAAATAATTAGAAGATACTCTCCCCTTCCACATGGCCTTGTAGAAAGAAGCAAGAGAGGCTTTTGCAGAAAGGAAAAGTACAGGAGCTACCTGTTCCTGCCCTAGTCAAAACTCCCTGGTGGTCTTATTTCCTAGTAAGAGGATGTTGGGGGTGAGGGAGAAGCACAAAGATGCTAAGATGGAGGTGTTCATTACTAGTGAGCGGGTGAGTGAATTTGTGTATTCCCATCATTAGTCAACATTTCCTTTCAAGTTCTTGGGTAATAGGCAACTTATATCTCAACACCAACAGAACAGTAAGAAAGCAATTTCTGGTGATTTTCCTCTCTTACCTGTCTAGCCTAGATATCTAAAGTAGATTTGGAGGAAGACGGTATAGCTAAAAATGCCACATTGATGGTTTTCATCCATCAGCAGATGAACAGTAGATGTAGCCATCCCTTTTTTATTTGTATATAATATACACAGAAAGACATGAGAATGAAGATTTCTGCACCCAAGGACAGCAAAAATGCCTGACATAAGATTATACCTGCAGATTTCTGTGCACTTACTGGAAAGCAAGCCTTATTGGACACAGTGGCTCTTGGTTCTGAATAAATGTTTAGGGCTGTGCTGTGGGAGTAGTGCATTTAAATGATGGTAAATTGGTAACTAACAGATACAGTGGTGTAAAGGAATTTGGCAGATCACTAAGCAGAAAGTCAGAATGATGCATGATTGGAAAAGGAGACAAAAGGAGATTTATAAAAAAATGCAAGTCACTGAAAAATTAAAAATTATTTAAAGCATAATCCCATGGCCACTAGATGGTGTCTAGGCAGCTGTAAGATAGGTCAGAGAGTCAGTGCTGACCTTGGAAATGCGTCAGCTGTGACACTAACTGAGGTTCCCTCCCTACATTCTCATAGTTGGTGTGGTTCTTTCTGTGCCAGCTGCAGCTCCAAAGTCACAAGTGCAACAAATGCAAGGGGTGAGTACCAAGGGGCAGGGAGGGGACTAGCAAGTCTCTGCAAGGACACAAGGCATCCTGAAGCGGTCTCAGCACCTCCTCCACATGAGCAGGATCAAAAGACATTGATGATTGAAATCAACTATATGTTTTTTGCAGTGTAGAAGTGCATAGGGAATTGTTGCCTCCATGCATTCCCCACCCTCATTTGGATGTCTATAATCCTCCAAGTTTGGATAGGTACAAGTAGGCACACTGGATGACAACTCTCTGAAAAGCAAAACTGTATAGTTAAACAAAGACAGAAGCCATCCAAGCAAGAGCTGAACAACATTCTTATAGTCAATCCAAAGGAATTTTTTATGAAGTTTTGTTCTAAAAACATTTCAGAGGAAACACACAACAGACATGTATGAAGGAAGAGAGAGAGAGAAAGAAGTTGTGCTCGTCCATCAGTTTTTTTAAAAGTCCAAAATCCAATAGGGGGAAGGGGAATCCAAAATTTAGTTAGGTAATACCTTTATTAGGGCCAGCCAAAATGCCACAAAAGGTTGTGCAAGCCTTCAAGTCCTCCAGAACTCTTCATCAGGCTAGGTGGTTTAAGGAGGTAAGGGATGGAGGGAAAAATAGTTCAAAAACTGGGCTAGATCTTGTGGCCATGAAGTCTGCATATAAACTCAAGTTTCAAGAAGGTGACTGCAAACTGAGCGAGGTACTACGGGTATCATACAATGTGGCTGTCCGGAAAAAGATGTAATGGGTTGCCAACGTTTCTGAAAACAAAGACCAGTTGTAACTCAAGTCTGTTTCTTCCTTGTCTGAAACACAAGGCAAGCAATGGGCAGAAATAAAGAATAACATCAACAATAGATTGGATTCTAAGGAAGGAAAATTTCCTGTCTCTTCCTTTCTACCTAATTTTAGAAGTCTCACTTCCATCAACTCCCATACCCAAACCAGCATTATTTAGATGAACAGTCGAACCAACTATGCTCTTTAGGGAAGTAAAAGGGAAGAATGGAAATTTTCCTTCTGTTAAAAGGTTTCTATTCGCTTATCTTAGAATCCAAGGTAATCTTCCTAGTAAATTATCTCACATTACCTGATATTTTGTTAACTCTGCCTGCAGTAATTTCACTCTAGATCTTTCTTGTTCCAATGCAGCATGAAGACTGCTGACCTAAAAGAAAAACAAAAACAGTTGCCTTGCTCTGATAGAGGTTTTACATCTTTAACAAAAGTGTTATTTTAAAAAGAATGAAGCTACAAGTCATACATAGCTTCATGAAAAATATACTCTACATATTTCATCTTGCATATTAGTCTCAAAACCCTTTTGCTGATGACAAAACTGTTCATGAAAATGACGGCTGTTCCTGTCAGATAAAGGTTGTCACAGTATTTTTAAAATTTGTACACTTACATCTCTAAAGAGAACTATTTGTGTTTCCCTAAATACTTAGATAATTTCAGAGGCAGATTTTACACTAACCTTTACACACACATATGGCAATAATCCTAAGCGAGGATAAGAAATACAGGGTACCTAATGAAATTTTAGTTATGGAAGATGATTAAACAGAAATTGAATCGCACTCATAAAATACAATAAAACTGAACATGAAAACTAGCTGGTTTGATGAGAATGTCGAGCTAGTCAAACTCTAACTAGGTTCACATGATATGGCAACCCATCATTGTTAACTAGCTATGCCGGTTATCATGTCATCTGAACCTTGACAACTTCCCACAAGGGCAACAAGCCACCTGGACAACCCAGAGCTTCTCCTAGAGCAATGATGGCAAACCTTTTAGAGACTGAGTGCCCAAACTGCAACCCAAAACCCACTTATTTATCACAAAGTGCCAACACTGCAATAAAACCTGAATACTGAGATTTTAGTTTAGAAAAAAACAACTCACAGCCAGCTCAAGCAAATATATATATATATCCTTGGCAGCGCACTGACTGGCCATGCAAAAGCTCGGACGAGTCGCAGCTAATGAGGCGCAGCTTGTGACATCATCACCTGACACCACTACTCCTTTCCAAGCATGTCCAAGGCCCCTGTGTGTGCTGTTATCCGATGCTCGGCTGCTGGGGTGACTTGGCTCGCATGCCAACAGAGAGGGCTCTGCATGCTCACTGTGGCACACATGCCATAGGTTCACCACCACTGTCCTAGAGGCTGTTGGACCCACATTGGTTTCTTGTTGCCTAAATGTGCAGACTGATCCCAGCACAGGTTGCAGGAAGCAGCAAGTGAGCTGCTTGGCAACAACAGCAAAAACTCTTTGCTGCTCTTAGAGCTCTTGCTCATGCCACTGCTAATAAGAACTCATCCATAGATGCCAAACAACATGTTGGAGTGACCAACACCAGTTCTATAGTTTATTTTTTAAATTTTGGCACTGCAAATTTTTGAAACTGACTTTTTAACTTTTTCTGGCACTCCTTCGGAATTGTGCAAATGCATTCTTTCACCTTTTAGAGACAATGGTACCTCAGCTCACAAATGCCTCAGTTCATGACCACGTTGGGTCACAAACAACAATTTCATAAAAATTTTGACTCAGGTTGCGAACTCTGCATTGGGTGGCGACCGCGATTGTGGCCATCCCCCTGCCCCCGAGTGGGGATATGGCCGCGATCGTACTGGGGGCCGTGGGATGATGGCCAAGATCCTGCCTGTCTTTCCTGCATGCACACGCCCATGATTGCGCACATCTTTCCTGCACGAGCACAACCGTGATCTTAGCCATCTCCCCCGCCCCCGGCAGCACAATCGTGCCTGTCACTCCCTCCCCAGAGCACCCATGTTTGCGCCCATCTCCCCCCCCTCAGCACACCGGGATGACAGGCATGTGCAGGGATGATAGGCGCGATCACAGTCGTGCTGGGGTGGCGGGGAGATGGCCGCACTTGTGCTCGGGGTGTGGGGGTGGGGGAGACGGCCACGATCTTTGTTGTTCTTTGTCACTTTGCTCCACATTTTTCTGATTTAAAAAAATAGTTATAGAATGGATTACCCTTATTTACATTGAACCTTATGGGGAAATTTAACTTGGCTCAAAACCAATTTGGGTCACAAGTCCTAGAATGGATTAAGTTCATAAGCAAAGGTACCACTGCATTTGAATTCTTGCCTGGTCTATTGTCAAATTACAGCTACCAAATATTAAAAAATAAGGACAAGAGACTGCATATGGAGTGCCTTGCAGAAATATTTACCCACCTTTGACTCTTCCATGTTTGGTTGTGCTACAACTTAGAAATGAAATAGATTTCATCGGCATTGTTGCCACTTGATACAAATAAAATGCCCCCATACCGTGTTTGCAAGTTGTTTTTATTGTAGCATGAAAGTGAACAAAAACAGTATGGCACCTCCTTGTTGCATAAGTATCCCCTGCTTGCTCTGATATCCCTAAATAAGCTCCAGTGCAACCCACTGTCTTCGTACTCCTCTGAGTAATTGAACTAAGCCCATGTGCATGTACTTCCAGTGCCAAATGATTTCAGATTAAATATACCTGTTTCTGGAAGGTCCTGATGTTTACTGGGAAGCATACCTAAATAGCATTATGACAAACAACTCAAGATAAAGTTGTGTAGAAACACCAATCAGAGGTGAGTTACTTTTTAAAAAGATTATGAACATCCCCTAAAGAATGATTAAATCCATTAATGCAAAGTGGAAAGAGTGTAACTCTTGACCCTGCCATCTACCAAAACTCACTGACTGGGATGGAGGCATCTGTCGTAAGAAGCAACCTAGAGGCAGAGGTAAATGGTAACTCTGAAAGAGTTGGATCTACTGCTGGCACTGTACAAGTACAGAACCCATCTGTGTGATGCAAAGAGCCCATGATGAAGAAGAATAGCACTACTGAAATTACAGCTATCACAAGGACCATTTGGACTGTGAAAAAAGAGAGACTCAGCAAATGTATGAGAAAAGGTTCTCTGATGAGAAAAAAATAACTTTTTGCCTTGCTGTGAAGCACCACATGTAGCACAAAGCCAACAGTGCTGTTGCCCAAAGAACATTCCCACAATGAAGTATGGTGGTGGCAGCATCATGTTGCAGGGATCCTTATCCTTATCATTGACAGAGACTAGGAAACTGAGGCAGAACAGAGGACAAGGTGGATGGATCTAAATACAGGGAAATTGTAGAGGAAAACATTGCCCATTGCAAGGGACCTGGGAACTGGAGTGGAGGTTCAACTTCCAGACCCTAGAAACAATGGAGTATTTTAAGAACAAAAACCTGAATGTGTTGAAATGGTTCAGTCAAAGCCCAGACTTTAACCCAATTGAAAATCTCTGAGATTTTCACCAACTGTCCCCATCCAATCCAATGGAGCTAGAGCACTTTTGTCAGAAAGAATGGACAAACACTGCAGGTTCCAGATGTATAAAGCTGTTACTTACCCAAGAAGACTAGCCGCTCTAACTGCTGCTAAAAATGTTTCCACCAAGCATAAACTTTGGTGGGGATGAATACTTATAACACTAAAAATAGTTATGCCAGTGTTTTTTACTTTAATTAACCTTGGGGCCACACTAAAAATAATCTCTGCCTTCTCGTTGTTGAGTATGCTGTGTACATCAAGTGATAACCAATTAAATCTATTTCAGTTCTAGGTTGCGATATAACAAAGTGTAGCAAAATCAAAAGGTTGTGAATAATTTTGCAAAGCAGTGTAGGCTAAATTCTGAGCAACTGATAGCTGTCAGTTTGACTGTACCAGCACTTCTCAGTCCACTCCACTTTTGGAATACTTCCTTAGTCTCCAGCTAGTCCAAATAGAGAAGATCTTAAAGCTACCCTCTTTCATGGATTTACTGATGTTCCCTGACAGCTGTCCAAAAATCCTGACAAGGAATCTGGGTAGGTTGCAGTGACTGGGACCGCAATGGAATGGGTGGAGGTACCCCATTCACTCCATCTCATTCTGCATCATTGCCAAAGCTGTTTTATTTTAAGTTGGAAATTTGCAAAATTATATGACAGCAGATATGCACAGATTCCATTATTAGGAAGTAAATGGAAAGGAAATACCACATCTAATGTTGTTAAAAAATACTGATAAAATGTTGATCAATCATCCAATCATTAAATGCAACTTTGTTATAAGGTGTTCAAGCATATGGTAGCAGCCGTCACCAAATATTTTGGAATGATACTGGTATTAGGGTGCCTTCCAATTTGATTTCAAAACCTGAAACACTGGCTTTGGCTGTTCTCACCTTTGCCAAGAAATGGACAGTGGGAGTATGCCATCTTTGTTGTAAGAAATCTCTCCGTAGTTTTCAATATGAACTGTGGGTAGACTTCTGGGTACCCAAAATTGTGCCCCTGGACATTTCCCTTCACACCCAATAGGCAACCTGCCTTCTGGATTTTTTTTTAAATGTTAAGGTTTTACTTAGAAAGCTGGGATACCACACAGTGAAGTGTGACCCTTCAAGTACTATCTCCCATTTCCTATGGCTCTAGGTCCCAAATGGACCTCAGATATGTTCTTAGAAAATAAACTTGTGATCAGCCACAACCCAGCATTTTGTGCACAACCCAGCACAGAGTGGAAAATAGATGTAGATTACTCTTCCACTAGGAAAGAGCAAACCACTGAACAATATCTTCCTTCATTACAGGAAAAAGGAAATAAACTGGAGGGTTGCAACAAGCATATTGGAGGGCTGGAGGCAGGATGGAGAGTTGCCCGGCCTGCTGTAGTATACTGAGAGAGAGGGAGGCAGAGTTTCTTTGAGCATCAGTTTGCCTTCTGTGAAACTAGTATTTTATTATGATTTATGAGGGAAAATATGTTATTTGGCACTTGAGGTACAGACTCCACCTTTGCCTTGTCTTTTGTTCCAAGTTATCTATTTCTGAGCCTCATCAGTTTGCCCTCTGTGAAGTGGGTATTGAAGCAGAAAGCTGCGTTCAAAATAATGGTCTTGTATTTTAGAGCTCAGAGTCCATTCTGACTTGTACTTGGATTCTTTGGCAAATTGCTTTTTGCCTCACCAGTTTGCCTTTTGGGAAATAAGTGTTTTGTAACTGCAATGGCAACAATTTTGTGAAAGCACACACATCTTTAAACTGCCATCAACATCACCTTGCGAGGAGGGAGATCCCAAAATATTCTAAATAAATAAAAGATGGAGGCTCCTGATATATTTGCTTCCTTGGAATTCATAGGCACTGCTTTATAATAGTTCAAATTCTTTCCTGCAGGCAGGCCACAAAAGGTTTTTTTCTCAATCCCCTGACCTTCAAAATATGAAGTCTCCAAGGTTCCACCTTTTTGTCCATGTTATTTAACATCTACATTAAACTGGGTTTTATTTCTAGTGTTAATGTTTCTTTTTTGCTGATTAGTGTTTTATTTGAAGTGGAGTGTTTTATGATTATTGGAAGTCTACATGAATTAAAAGGTATGGTAAAAAAATAGGGTAAAAATGGAGTTTGACTTTGTATGTAAGTTGCTGGATTGTAAGAGCTGCTCACATGACCCCAGGACCTTTCTGCTATTACAAAGAAGGGGCAGTGTCTATAGATTTACCCCATCCACTTGTAGGCCCCCACACCATACCACATCCCATGTTGTTCTTGAGCATCTCTTCAACCTCAAGAACTGCATTTAAATGGCTGCAGAGGAAGGAAACAGTGTGAAAGCCATGTTTCTTTAAAAGTATTTTACTTGCAGTTCTGACTTTTTGGTTCCAAACCATTTTTAAAGTTAGATAAACCTTTACCTGCAAAGTTAGCTCATTCTTAATACTCTGAGATTCATCAACTTGAAGTAGTATTTCAGCTTTATCTTTCACTAAAAGATCAAAACAAAGAAGAAATTAGACTTAACTATTCTCAATACATAAAAAAATAGGGTGGGGATTTGTCAAGCCCCTGGCAAGCCACAACTCATAGCTGATGGGCTGCATTCAGTTTGATGGGTCACAGTTTGTATAGGCCTGTTATACATCAAAAGAAGAACAAACCTATTTTTCTTAATAATTCCCAAATTGCTTGTATGGAGATTTAATGAATGTAACAGGCTTTAAAAATAATAATTAAAAAAACACACAAAGCAGTACTTACTTTCACCTTCTTGTAGCATTTTCAACAGCTGTGCATTTCGTGCTTTTACTTCCTTATACTTTGCCTAAATATTTTTTAAAATCCAATTAATACAATGGTGTATTTAACTAATTTTGTTTCAACATTAAACTATTAGTTGTGCAGCACTGTCTTATACATGACTACCAGAGGTAAGCCCTGCTATGCTCTGTGGGACTTACTTCCTAGTAAGTGTGTTTAGGACTGCAGCCTAAAGTTAGTCCATTCACTAACCTATGCAAGAAAAGTAAAATACAACATGATAAGACTAGTATTGTAAAGAGACCTTAAACCCCGTTTTAAAAAAGGATAATTTGTGAAGTATAATTTATTAGAACTGCAGATGGAAAAGACAGAAAGATGGCAAACAAAGAAATCCATTTTGAGGGTGAAGTTCACAAAATTTTACAACACACAGCTCATGGACTACTTCCCATGAAGCCTATTGCATGAAAATGGCATTAGCAGTTGCCACAAAGTGCCAGGAAGGTCCACATTTAGCTTGTTTGAAAGCTATATCTGGCTCTTTTGGAAAAATGCCCAAGGTTAAATTTAGCTAGGAAACAAGGCATTTGAACTTTTGTAGCTCTCTGTAGTGCTAATGAGCAATATTTATTAACAGGCCAACATTTTCCTCTTTTTTTGCAAACTTTTTGGTTAAGACTTTACACACCCAGCAGAAAGCAGCCTACATGCACATATGGGGTAGCAGGTTCCTGGGAACAAAAATAGCCCCTGGACAACCCACAGTTGCCGACCTGTGTTAAAAATGTGTTGTTGCCTAGAAAAATCAATTTGCATTATTTCTACTTTCTTGTTAAAAAGCAAATTATCAAGCATGCGATGCACAGGGAATTTATTTCTAAGTGAAACAATAGGCTGCCAACCCTCCAAACTTGGAGGATTGTGGGTGGGAGTAGTATGGAGACTTAAATTGCCTCCAGTTTCTCTCACCCACCAAAACATTTAGATAACTTTTCCCCACTGTTTGTGGGGAGAAGAGGCTGAGGCAATCCTCCCTTCAACTTCATCCCGTCTTAATCCTCCCTTCTAACTTCATGCCAACTTCAAAGATGGTCTTCAGAGTCATTCAGTGCAAAAAGTATCATACAGACTGAAAGGGTAGAGAAGGGGGCCTGGCGAAGTTAAGTCCCAGCTCCAACCTTGGAAAGAATTTCCTCTGACCTATGCTGTGACTCCCGAGACAACACTGGGAGGCCATAGGATTGTACCCTAAGATGTTTAAGCATGTACTGACTGGGTCCAGACTATATAATGCAGCTAAACATGGGTTATTTAACCCATGAGAAGCAGTGGAGTCTGCAAGCATCATATTCTGTACCCTGGCTCCACTACGCAGTTGTCATGTTGTGCAAACTCAGCAAGGGTTAAACAACTTTGGTAACCCAGACCATGGATTCTGTGGGAAATGCTTAACTCTGGCATAACACAAACCACATTTTCACAACATGAAAACCCCCAAGCAGAAGTTGTATACTTAAAATGGTGATCACACACACAGCAGCCTCACCATGGTTAAATTACCCACAATGGGTTGTTGTGTTAGGTGACCAGCCCCACTTAGTCCATGTCTTTATTTACACTGTAATAGAATCACTTCTATTTATTAAAGTGTGTATGCAGCAATTTGTCAAGCAGTTCACATTATAATGTTATACCATAAATTAGTAGAGGAATGTTTATGTGAGAAAACAAGTTCATTTGCACCTACGCAAAACAGTGTATTATATTGACTTTTTGAGGTAAAGAGGATTGTCAGGTACATTTAATGCCTTCAGAGGCAAGCATTTGCAAAATGGCAGTGCTTAAGAGCAATCCTATGATCCCTGGTAGAATGTTCCACGAACCACAGGATATTTTTGGTTCCCCTCCCAAGGCTTCATACATTCCCACAACCTTGGGGTGGGAAGGGTGCGATCCAACACTGTGTTTCTCCCCACCAACAGCCATTGCACAAAAAACTGCACTGGCTGCCTTCTTAGGTTACAACGATTACCTCAGATGACCAGGGCAAAAGAATGCATTCTGGTGGGTAGGGTAGGGAGGAAAGGGGCCAGAATCTGTAAAATCCCATGGCCTCTCTGTCACCTGTTCCCCTCAATTAATGAACTCAGAGGACTTTCTAATGGGGGGCAGTTAAGAAGAAGGAGCAGGTGGTAAAACTGCCTCAGTGTTGCTCCTGCCCTGCTGGCAGCAGCCTGGCAAGCCATAGAATTTTTGCAAGCCTGCAAAGTCAGAGGTTTCCAATAGTGCACTCTTAAGAAAGCTAAAATTTTAAAATGACCTTGGTGAACTTATTGCTAGGTTCTAATTTCCCTTTTCAATATATGTAAAAATTATAATTAGTAGAATAACCTTGAAAACTTTTATTTGTTGAAAAGTCCAACAGAAAGAGTTTCTCAATTTATGGAAACAAAATGCGTACCTCCCATTGAGTGATTACACTTTTTAACTGCTGGATTTCTGCATCTTTCTTTTCAAGCTCCAGCTTTAGTCTCTCTATTCTTCCATCTTTCAAGAAAGAGTCCTTTAAACAGAACAAAACTACCATGAAAATTAACAATGTCCCATACCAATTCAAACAATTAAGAAATGTGAATAACTGTTTTTTAAAAATGTAAAAATTGACACAAGGACACTTGAAGCTGCTGCCTTTTAAACTTTCCATACTTCAGAAAGACAACAGTATGTATAATTACATAATGGTCATTTTCACAATGAATCATGTCAGGATTCTGGTTTACAATGAATGAGCTACTTTGTACCACCATGCAGCCTGTTCATGCCCACTTCTGCCTCCCAGTATGACTGCTAAAGAAAAGAAGATTGTGTTTTTTTTAACATGACATCTTGACTGGGAATTCAGGCAAACAAACCCTAGCTTGTAATCCTGGCTTGTAAAGGGAGCAACAGGCAATTATGTGTGGTTCAGAGAATACCTTAAATATACCATTCTGCTGAAAATAGAATGCATTTCAGATCTTTCCTTATTCAAGAAAAAATCCTCCAACCTTGGTGTTCAGACTCCAAAAAATCCTATGGTCTGTCAAATCAAGTCAAGTGGCCATAGAACTGTTCTTTTAGTAGTCTTCTTGTTGTTGTGGCCACCTAATTTTGTCTAATTCAGCTACATTTTCAAGTTATTAGATAAAATATATATTTAGGAACTTCTACTAAACATACTTGTGAGTGGTCATTAGATGTACTGTTATCCACTTCATTGTCTGTGATATGCTCTCTTCTTTTTTCTCTAATAAGTATTTTATGCACATCATCTTCCAGTCTATTGAAGAATTCATCATCACGCAAGAAAGTATGTGAGGAACTCAATTCCTGTTAAGGATTAATGATCATTAATCTACAGCAAAAGCAATTCAATAATTAGTGAGTCATTGTTCTAAGGAGAAAGCAGAGCTGTTTCTTCATGAGATATTTCTACCCGTTGAACAAATCTAAATACAAAACTCCACCTTTAAAAGCCATGTCATATCATCCCTACAATTTGCCATGATACTGACATGGGTCAGAAAGTTGTTTGTAAATGTAATGCTACCCCATAGTTAAGTGTTATGAGAACAAGTCATAGCAAGGCTCAGATTTGCGTGTTCCTATATCAGGAAGCTACAAGGAGAATAGACACTGCTACATCCATCTTACCACATGAACTATGATTCATGTTAATAAGATTTGCTGAAGTAAATCAGCTTCATAAATGATGGCCTGAAGTTGCCTTGTTTGACAGACACCATAGTTAACTGTTTGTTTGCTTAACAGACTGCAGTTAATTAGAACAGAAGCAAAAGATTAACTCCTTATGACAGCATTGGAGGAGGATGGGAACAAGTAAGCCTGGAGTACATTACAGGGGACTAAATATTATGTCTCTGTGTCCAATCAGTCCCTACTTTAATAATGATTACTTGTAATTCATGCATACATACTCTGGTTTTACACTGTGGCAAGACACGGAGTGCATCTGTATGTTGTAGAGTAGCCAGGTGCATTTCCTACAATACTTTGCTTATTTAACTTCTCAACACAGGAATGGATGAGTTGCCTCAGTATTTAGAGTGAGGACACTGCAAGGTCTTAGTTACCTCAGTGAATGTTGGAGCTACGTTTTCCCCTTTACACTTTCAAAGCACCAGACCATTCTTTGGCAGAAACTCTTCATTCTCCAAAGTACATCCAGTGAACACAATCACCACAGAATGAGTCTCTGAGCACGCACAGACCGGTTCACTGAACTCGAGCTAGCAACTACTTCTGAGAACCCTCCTTTTGAGCAACCCTGGTTCATCCCCCTCTAGGAAGGCTTTTTTGGAGGTAGGCAAGCCTCTTCTCTGTATGCCACCTCTCCAGTTAGCTGGCCCTTCTCTTCCAATGCCATGTCATGTCAAGACTCATACCAGGCCCAGGTGGCTCCTGGAGCGTCTGTCCTACATCCCCTCCCAGCAGTTGTAGATCCTGTCTATTCTCAGAGTCCACCTGAACACTTGGAGAAGGCACCCAAGCCCCTCTGCTTCTCCCATCCCAATATCTGGAGGACTATTTTTTCAGGGCCCATCCTCCCTCTGGGAAGAATCCAGTTTTTCCTGATCTTGAAACTCACACCGAGCAACTCACACCAACTTCCTTTTTCATTCCCAACAGTAAAGTTCTTTCCAAGCCAAAACTGATTAGCTGTGCAGCGCTGTGGCACAATCACATTATTCAGTAAACCCTGATTAACTTGAAACAAGTAGTTATTCAGAAAGAAGTGCCAAAAGAAAGGAAGAAAGAATGCTGGGTAAACAAGATGCAAGAGAAAGATGAAAAACAGAGAGCTAACTGGACTGGGGAGAACCATCATAGCCGGTTCAGTAGCAGGCTGTTCTCCATTAAAATTGTAAATCCTCAAAAAAGCATCCTGCCCCTTGCCCTTTCTCTCTTTCTTGCACATTTGAATATGTTACCAGGATTTGAAGATACTCAAGATGCACAAAATACTCAACTCTGTAAAGGTGCAAAGTAATTTTTTTATTGTGGCATAAAAGTTCAATGGACAAAAAATGGCATCTGTTGCTCAGATTTGCCTAAATATTGTTCCTGTGCAACCCACAGTCTCCAAAATTCAAATACTGTAGGTATTTGTCAATTAATTGCTACAATCGCAGATTAAGTACATCTGTTTCTGGAAGGCCCCAGCATCTGTTGGAGATCATATCTAGACAAAAAGCATGATGAAGACCAAGGAGCTATGAAAACCATTCCAGGATAGGGTTATGCAAAAGCACCCTCAAAGCACCATTAAAATTTCAGAACAGAAAGAATACAGGTCAGGCATGACTCTGTCTAGAGAAAACTGTCCACTAAGACTCAGGGACTCAATAAGGAGGGCTTGAAGAAGATGGATAGATCTACAGCTAAAATGGGAGAAACTGCCCACAGGACAAATATCTGGATGCTTCTTTTCTAAATCTGGATGAAAGAAGCTCCAAAAGAAAGGGAAAAGGAATGATGGTCAAACAACAGAAACAACAACACAAAAGAGACAGACCAAACACTGAAAGCTAACTGGGTTTGGGAGAACCATTGTGGCAAAAAGAAAGGCATTACAAATGTACAAAAAGGTACTGTTTCATGAGACAAAAATGACTTCTTGGCTCTGCTGAAAAGCACCACACAGAGCACAAAGGCAACATGCTTATTGGCATGAGAAAACCATCACCATGGTGAAGAATGCTGACAGCAGCAGCATGTTGTAAGGATCCTTTCCTTGCCTGGGACTTGGAAATAAGACAGGATGGATGGAGCTAAATACAAAGCAATTCTAGAGGAAAACATATTGCCCTCTGCAAGTGACCTGGGACTGGACTGGAGGATCACCTTCCACACAGCCAAAGTAATATTAGAATCTTAGAATGGCCTAAATGTCAGAATGTGAAGGTCCAATTGAGAATTTGCGACACATCTTGAAAATTGCTGTTCACCAACTGTCCCTCACATCCATCCCAATACCCAATAGAGCAAGAGCACTTTTGCAACGAAGTACACTCCTCCACCAAGGAGTGCCAGTTTGTTTTATCTTACTTAACGTTGAAGCCACAATAAAAATAACCTGCTCCTTCTCATTGTTGAGGATCTTGTATACATCAAGTAGTAGCAATGCCAATTACATCTATTTCAATTCCAGGCTGCAATACAAGATGTGAGAAAGTCCAAGATGGATGGATGAATACTTTCATAAGATACTGTATACACTACACAATTTGGTGCAGGCACAATGGATAATTCAGAGAGTCATTTCATTACATACAGAACAAAGCAACATATGTTGCTGTCATTTTAATTTAACACAAATCGTTTCCAGTGTGATTAGTAAAGTCTTCAGGATTTCACGATCAAGATTCCTTCCCCAATTTACCGCATCAGAACCACATGTATATATTCATGTCACTCACCTAGAAAACAATAGAGTACTTGCAATACTTGTCCTAATTTGCTTCAAAAGTGATTGAGTACTCAACAAAAAATTAAGTAGCCATTCTAATATGAAAGGCAAGCAACTTATTATATTAATTATGGATTTCTAAATGTGTGTGTGTATGCAATGTAAGTAGTTTTCATATTGATTTTTGCAATGGAAAGTGATGCATAAATTAGATGACTGACAACAGCAGTGACTTAAAAAGTATAAACACCTGTACTGTCTAATCTAAAAAAATCCACTCATGTTTATTGTCTGTCAGGTACGTACCTCTTGCTTTTTGGAAAGGTGATCTGAAATGACAGGTAACATGTACAGATTAATATGCTTATTTTTAAAAATCAAGAGTGTTTCAGCAGTATATATTTAAATTTATAAAATGCTAGTGAATGGATCCATCTTTGAATGGGCTAGAACAGACTTTAGTTCAATACAGCAAAGCCTGTAAGCAAACTTACACAGCTGTCACAATTGAATGCACTACATCTAAGTGAAGCCATGCCTCTAGGCATGGTCCCTGCCATAACGCACCCCAAAAGGTCAGTTCTGTCAACCCACTTCACTCAGAAGGGGATGTCCAACAGTTGGGGGGTGGGGGGTCAGGCATACAAGCTTGAGCCTACTCATCTCCATTGGCTTCAAACTGTATAGAGAGATGGGTCGTGGCTCAATGCTTTTCATACAGAAGGTCCCATGTTAAATCTACAGCATCTCCAGGTAGGGCTGAAAAAATTCCTGCCTGAAACCATGAAGAGCAGCTGTCAGCCAGTGTTAATAATCTGTGCTAGATGGATCATGGATCTGACTCAGTATAAAGCAGTTTCCTATGTTCCTATGATTGCAAAGCTTCATGCTGGTAATTTGTTTATTCAGAAGAAAGAGGAGAATCTGAAGGAATGAGGAATGTATATAGCAGAAGATATCAGTATCCCCACAGTCCCATTAAAAAAAGTTTGTGCTATGTTCCTGGAAACACTGGTTCCCCTATATCACTGTTTAAGACAAGAATGGCAAAACCCATACCGATGTTGGGATCAGACTGAAAATCCTTTAAAGACACTGTAAGAGGCTTGTCTTTTCCCTGCTGATTTTTTCTTTTTTCTTTCTTGTGTACAGCCTTTGATGGAGGAGAAGCATTTTCAATGTTTTCATATTCCTGTTAAAGAGTAAAAATATATCTAACTTTAGAGCAAAGTTGGGGAAGGTTTTTTAACCTGATGGCTAAATTGTGAATTAGGAATGGTCTCTATGCATTTTGACTGTGGTTGTGTAAAGGCAGTGTTAATTGTAATTACAATTTGAAGCCTACTCAGAAAAAAACAGAATAAGGCTTTCATATGTCTATTCAAAAAGCAAGCAGGACTGAATTACTCATCAGTACTTTCAAATGGCATCCCAAATACTAAGCTTCTGCATGTCTTCTTAAAAGGTCACAGCTCTCTTGTCTGTAAAGTGCATATCTCAGTATCTTGCAGCAGCTTGATTTTTTTCAGCGAGTTTAAAGGCTGCCAGCCTTTAAATATCCCTTTTCTCTCTTATCAGTGTTCAGAATGCCAAAGAAGTCTACAGGCATATCTAAGGCAAGTCTCTTCTTCAGAGGACAAACCACTTGGATTATGTGTTTTTGTACAAACCTACTCAAAGACAAGGGGCTATGAAACAATGGCTGCATTTGGATGTCACAATAAGCTACTCTGGGTACCTTTGAACAAGAATGCATGCTTAGTTCTTCCTGCCAGTGGGAGCAGGTAAATAAGCTAAGCATTTTCTGTCTGTTTGGTGACATGTGAAATACGAATTTTGCTTTGTTCCACTCTCAAAAAGCCTATCTTAAACCAGGATTTATTCTTAGCTTATTGCTGGTTTACAAGAATGAGCAAGAATTCTTGGTTCAGATGTGATATGAAGCTAACCTTCCCCAAATTAGTACCCTACATATATTTTGGATTACAACTCCCATCACCCCTGGCACCGTAACATTATTTAAGAATGATTAGCATACCAATCTAAAACATTTGACATGTACCCAAATTTGTTTAGCCATTCCTGCTGGCAGGAGGACCCAAGCAGAAATAATGAAGTAAATGTACCAATGCTTGTGTATTCAACGCAAACTAGAAATGTAAAAGGTTCTGATTTCCCATAATATGAGAACCAGATCACTGGGTAGTGTTTCAGTCTCTCATGTAATATATTCTGAGCCCTATTCATGCAAATTGTCTTCTCTAAACTAGTGACTACATATCCATTAATTTGTTCATTAAACCACTAAAACATATCAGAACATGTCACAAGTTTACTGTTTTCACAATTACAACAGGTATTATTCTATTGGTCTGCTCTTAACTTGATTGCATCTGGCACAAAACTGCAGTTCCCTCACAAAAATGATGACTGCAAATCATTCAATGGCATAGCAGCTGTCCTAATGTTCATCTTATAGTGGTAAGTTCATTCTCTTCAACAGATGGAAGATAACCTTACATGGACTGATCTTCCCACTTCTTTCCCTTGCATATCCCTAAATGAAGAGAAATCCTTCCTGGTTACAGGACCTTGAATTGCAAAGGAAATGACTATGTTCTGTGTTCAGCAGTACCACTGGATCAACCAAAAACCAAGTATGATCAGTGTAAAACATGAGCCTAAACCTGGAGCTCTGTTCAAAAGAAGACAGAAGAATTCAAAACACTCTGAAATGCCAAATCTAATAAACTATATTCACTCCCCTGAGCAAAGAAGGTATATCTTCCATCCACTGAAGAGAATATACATATTGTGTTAAGATCACTATTCTTTTTTCCTTCCATGGTGGAAGGTAGCCTTGCATCGGATACACAACAGGAATTTTTAGCTCAGTAGCACACTGTGGCATAGCCTGCCAAAAGAAACAATGGGGAAAGTAAAGGTGTCTAGCCTGTAGCACCTCACAATCAACAGATTAATGACTCCCTACATATATTGTCAATATGGGTGTTTCCGGGGTAGCTGCACTAAATGTGAAATGAGCCATGAGCTAATACAACACTAGGATGGTAGAAAATGCATGGAATGGGCATTCTGATCACAAATCCTCCTTACTGATGTGATCAACACCTGAAATAGGATCTTTAATGATAGTCTTTACCAAGACCAAACAAAGCTATTTAAATGATATTACAAACTGGGGCACAGAGAGTCACAAGAGAATACTCAGGAGCTGAAACATTTATGTTTTGTGGTTCAAGCCATGGTGGGTTGTGGCACATGTATTTGACTATTCAAGCCAGCTTAGTGAGTCATCTGAACCTGGGCAATGGTTTTTTGTGACGGTTAAACTCCTCTTGCTTAACCATAGAACAGGCTATTAGGATTATGTAAGGGTTCTTTAACCTCCACCCACACCTGCCACCCAGACTCAAATGATACAACAAACCATAGACTAAATATTAAAAATGGCTTCCCAGTCACAATACAGCTTAAAAAAGCCCAGTAACTCATTTCAGTGTGTGAACAAGCTCTGTGTCTGAAGTTATGTCGATTTAGTTGATTTAGGCCTTGACAACCAATGCAGGAGATTCTTGAGAGAGAGCAAAAACATAATGGAGCCTAGGACAGAATCCTGAAACTCTGTCACCTTCAACAATTTTACCTTCCATTTGGTGGAGTGAGAGAATTATCATTTGTGGGGAAAATGCCTTTGTGTTGCGGCCCTCCTCACTTGAAAATACATAGAATTTTTGTTAAAATTTTATTTAGACTAGTCTATGGTGCGGGGAAGAAGAAATTTAGGAACTGAAGCAGCATGGTCCTCCTTCCTACTCTTGTTTTCTCAGTAGACAAGGTGGGTAGGATATACCCTGTTTCAAATGGTAGAGAAACTATCCTATTTTGCCCCTGGAACCTCCCCCATCTCTAAAAGAAACTGATCTGGGGTAGGATAGTGGAGAGAAGATTCATATGATGGACCATCTAATCCAGGTCTGTTGCTCTGGTTGGATGGACTTCTGTCCAAAATTGCAGGGGCTGTGGATAAGGATACTGGGGACATGTATCTATCTTTTAGTACTTTATACCATTTCCAAAACTCTCCAACCCATGTCCAAGTGTATCTTATGCTAGCCCACCAGAGCCACTCTGCCAGGTTCACTGTGCCATCCAGACCTTCCCTTCCACTGCTGGGTATGGCAGTAGCTTTCTCAAAGCAGCAGCCTTTGCTGCATGGGCCTGCTTCCTCTTTCTTTGCACTGCCTGAGAGCTGAGCCTCCACACTGCACTTGTGACTTGCAATTCTTCACCTTCTAAGAAGAGAATCGTTCTGGAATACTTGGAATCTGTGTGGAAGAATAAGTACTACCAGGCATCTCTTCCTTAAAATACACATTGCATAGCTCAAAACTCAACCCACCCTGCTAGAGAGGAAGAAGAAAGGAGAGGGGGAGTCAAAAGCACAATACTTCGTTTCAGTGTTGGAAGGTTCAACCAGAAATCAGGTGAGTTTTCCTTCCCAGAAGTAGAAAATAAACTAGGAAGTGATTGTATCACGTTATATCTGAACCCAAGGTGCTAGTTTATTGGTACCAAACAACTCAGGATCACTCACCAACTTGCTGTTCGCTTATATATCATGGGTTTGGACATAATGGGATGCTATCATCTCTTTTTTTAGCTTGAAGTAGTGGAAAAAGTAAACTGACTGCATGTACCAGTAAGCAGCTCATTCATGGTAAACCAGAAGTACTGAGCAATTCAGACTAGCATTTGTGGATGAAAGAGACTTAGTGTAACTTTGTTTAGATAGGCTCCTAAACACTTACTTGGAAGCCAGTTTCACTAAATTGGAAGAATTTCCAGCTGAGGAATGGTGACATTTATGTATTATATTTCTAAATTACCATACTTTCATCCAGAGTTTCAAAAAACTATGTCGAGTTTCTTGTATTATGCAAGTTTATTTAACTGATTGATTAAAACCCAGGTATTTCATACGCTTTGGCTGCTAGACACTGTCAAGATGGTCACAGGATATGTCAGAGTTCCAGCTCTGGAACTCTGAGGTTGGAGCTGGGATTCTCCCTGCACTGGCTGTAGCTCTAAAATCATATGGTGCGGGGAGCGGGGTTCATTCTGGTGGGTGAGGAAGACAAAAGTGATGTTCTCTTGGTACAGGAATCCCAGCAGTACCTCAGCCCCTCTTCCTTACGAAGGGGTGCAAAGGACACTTAGCTTTTGCGGGTTTCTCCCAACCTCAATTTGATGCCACACTCCTCTGAGTTCAGAGGGTTACACTGCATGGCACCTCTGCTGGCTGGGGCATGCTGGGAGTTGTAGGACTTTTTTCTTTCTAAACAGATATAGGACTGCACCTTAAAACCTGTAACTGATTATTATGCTAGCCAACTATTCTTTATATGTATCATCTTATGCTTACTTTAAGTTAGATATTACCACTGTATTTTTCCTTAAATTTTTTGATTATATTGCAATTATATATAATTGCAAATTATATATAATTTGTCTAAAGGATCAAACTAGAGTTTTATAGTTTGTATAGCTAAACAGCTAAATTACTTAAAATCCTGATGTATGAGTATAAAACTTACATAGCCTTTCTCTTTTTAATGGGAGTCCAAGAAAAACAAATGCAACTTCTAATCTTTGCTTTATTTTTTATTCATCAGACAACAATGTTATGAACAATTTTACATGTTCCAAATATAACACTGTTTGCTAAGACTTTCTTTCTTACACTGGACAAATTATAAATATTAAGAAAACATGCAACTACTAAATATTTCCTGTCGATTAACTAATATTTGAACCTATGGTTGATCCAAGAACTAGAGAGAATATTTACTGTGTTTTAATCATTCTGAAAGTAGGCAATACCTTTTTGTGTTCCTCATATTCCAGTTTGCTTAGAAGTAGAGCCTTTTCAAGATCTGCTTCAAACAGTTCAGAAGTCAACTGAAGAAACAAGACAGAAATGTAAGACTTTGTGACAGGTTTTTATTTAACACACCAAAGATGCTTGCAGCACTTTAAAGATTAATGCATTTATTCTGGCATAAGCTTTTGTAGACTCCATATCAGTTTCTGCTCTAGTAAATGCATTAGTTTTGACAGTGCCACAATACACTTTTGTTGTTCTTGGGACAACAGATTAACATTGGTAGCCTCTGTTAATTATTTAAACATGCATTTACACCCTTAATACCCACACATCAGAATATTTTTGAGGTGCATTTTGGTACAAGTATAGTCAAGGTATTTCTACTTTCCCTGTACTGAACTGTACTGCAAAATGAGAAACTAAAAGTAAAAATCTCTCTCCAAAATTTTAACCAGACTACTTTGAAATTACTATATACTTTGTGCTAAAGCTGCACATCTGGCATTTTGTTTGTCTAGTCGCAAAGTCGTGCCCTACCCATCACGACTCCATGGACAACATTCCTACATACAAAGCCTTATCAATGGCACATAGTCAGATTTTGCAGCAAACATTCTGCTTTAGCACTAGAGATAAATGAGCTCTTCTTCACTCCAACGTTATCCATGTTCTTACTCAGAAGAACAAGATAGTTTTGGGGCATCTAGTGTTTGCGAGATCTAGTCCCCACCCAGCCATGAAGCTCATTGGTTGATTTTAGGCCAGTCTTAACCTAACCTATATCATGTTGTTGTTGTGGGAATAAAATAAAGAGGATATTCCTATACACCACTGCAGCCTTCTTGGAAGGAATGTATGAGAATGCAGATGTAATCCATAAATCTGCTTCTTATGGTAAAGTAACCCTCCACAGGAGAACTGAGAAACATGAGACTACTTTTGGACTTGGTTCTACATTGAAATTCTCTGTTAATAACTGTTTATTGGTTTAATGACAAAATCTTCAAAAATAAAACATACTGCCATGCCACATGTTTCATCTAATGTGAAGAAGTTGTGCTTAATAAAAACATTGTTACATTTTAAGTTAAATCTTGTTTTCCAAAATCAGCTATGCCATTCTTCATGCCAGTTCCATTCAAAAGTACAGGGCAATCTTGTACGTTCAGAATTAAATCTCAGTGAATTCGATCAGGCTTTCTTCTAAAAAGGTAAATATACGGGTGCAACCTTAGTATTCTGAGTGATGAAGCAAGAAAGTAGGGGAGGAAAAGCCCCAGGAAAACTGAAACCAGAGGCTAGAGGAGAAAATATCCTAAAATGCCTGTTGGATAAGATCTCCCTAAAGAACTGCAGAAACAGGAGACAGATTTGCTTGTATAAGTTGACTGTGTTCCTTTCTCTGTACCTATTTTGGGCTTTCATTCTAAGGCTATAATCCTAAACAATATGACTAGCAAGTAGATCTCAATTAACTAATAGACTTCTAAGCTCAGGAATGATGTCAGTTATGATCTAATGCTATTATGTTTATATTAAGTCCTATTATGTTTAATAGCACACGTTAAGTCTGAAGCTTTAAACTACAATCCTATACCTACTTAAGAATAAGCCCCAATGAACTCTATGTGACTTCTTCTGAATCGAAATATAGGACTGCAATATTAACTTGTACAAACTAGGCTTGGATATTTGTACAACAATCAATAATCCAGCATGTTTATCGTAAGATTTAGAATTCCAAACAAATCTATAGGATAAAGTACCTGTTCATCTCTTTGTCTCCATTCTTGCCAGTTTTCTTCCTGAGAGTCTTTGCGTGCTGAATTATTTAATGCCTGCTCATGCAAGCAGGCTCCATGGGAAGTTTTCTGAGGAATCTTTTTAAAAGCAAGATTTCTAAGCTATAATGAATAATGAGGAGAAATTAAGGATTTTAGAAGACATAAAACACTGTGGCACTATGAAACTACAGTATCAATTCTTTTTAAAGTAACTTATATTATGCTTTGTTAAAAAACAACCTATTATTTAGATGGTCTAAGGTAGCCAAGATAGTTATTTAAAATATTTATATGTGATTTGTATGCTCAAATCCTTCCCAGGTGGCTTTCAATATATACATTCATAATATTAATTTGTAACCATAAAACAACATAAGTACAGCTGAATATAAAGCAAGGGCCAACAATAATACTAATTACATATGACATCCAGCCCAACATTCAATAAACAAGTTAGTTGCTCTGCGACTGCAGAAGCAAGTGAAAGGACACACAGATTTCTTCTGCAAGCAGGAAGAATGCAGGTCACTGGATTACACCACTTCTATACAAACCAAAATACCAGCAAGTGAAGATCAGCAGGGCCCTATAAATGTTAATTTACAACTCATTGTTTTGTTCTGTTTGTTAACCTCAATGTTGATCTTGCTCCTCTACCTTTTTCTTTGCCCTGTCTTTGTTAGTAAGACTGAGTTCTCACTTTCATGCATCTTTTTTGTCAATGCATTCCGTGTCTCATGTAAATTTATGTACTGTGCCTAACACCAGCATTCTACTTTTGATGGATTTCAAGTAGCTTTCAGAGCAAAATGTACACTCAGTTCTAAAGGTATTGGATATCCCTTCCAAAACCTGGAAGAGTCCTTAATTTATTTCAGATACAGTAGTTTATTTTATTTGACCATAGTCTGGCCTTCCTTCTGTATGAATATGCATATCTGACACAAGAAATGACTTAAACGTAACAGTTCACCTCATTTGCTTCACTCTGCTGCTGCTCCTTCTTTTTTCTCCTCTTTTCTTTCTTCTTTTCATTTGTGCTTGACTTGCTACCTGACATCTGGGACTTTCCACTACTCCGACCACTTCTTCCCTTTCCTGATTCTGAATCAGATCCACTACCACTATCAACTTGTAAAAGAGCAAATCTAGATGCAGTGGTAGGAACAGAACTAATTACTGCAGAGGCCATTTTAATCTTGGGAGAGTCTGGAAGCAAACTTCAAAGTGTTTCCTGAAAAAAAACAAAAGTAACATAAAAAGAAGTAAGAGAGGCTCCTCTGTTTTTCTATAAGAGATCTGGTACATTAAGAGTCTACCTGTTTTGATCTAACAATCTTATGAACAAAACCCATATATTTTAACTCTTACTTTGCCTGTTCCACAGAGGTTCAGCTTTGAAAGGTTTTCAAGATACCAAGAAGTATCAAAATGTACATTACATTTTGAGGCAACTGCACATGCTCCCCAAATCAGTAAATGCAGAAGTAGTTCTGCCATTTTTGAAAATACCCTGGGAAACTTGCTCTAAGGACAGTATAAGAATTTCTATAAGAAAAATAGAAACACATAAGTAATGGAGAGCTTTATTAACAAATTTCTATTTGTTCTTTTATTGAATTTCTTCTACTAGCTTTGACTGGCTATATTTCACATAGAAAGAAGCTATTGAAATTAAAGATGAAGAAAATTAAAACATAATTAGAGGCTTAGCAGTATTACAGTTCTCCCTGAATATGGTACTTAGATTCTTTAAGATGATCTTCTCTTCAGGAAAATCACCAATAGAAACCATTTTTGATTGAATAGCTGTCATTTTCTTAAGGAGGCTTATAAAAGCGGCATTTCATTGGAAACTTTTGGAATCCCTGACACATGGAGGAATGCAGTCTTCACAGAATGCAGTTTTACAAGGATTATTATAAGAAAGTTTCATGAGTTTTTAAATATTACAATTAGAGGTCTGTCAAAATACTTGGGTCATCTTAAAAAAGAAAGCCTGTATCATTTCATGGCAATTCAACTACAAAGGAGTCCCATGGGAAATGCTGAAACTTTTGGATTTTGCTGAAACTTTTAAGAGAAATGGCAGCACTAACATTAAAAGAGGACCCTGTCAATCTTCTACATGCAGTAAATGAGCATGAAACAGTTTCTCTGCTTTCTGAAGAATCCACTGACAAGTATTTATGCCTAATGGACACTTCCTCAACAATGATACATGATATGGTTGGACTAAGATATTCCTCTATACAATATGAGGAAAATATTTCACATTTAAGATGCTTGAAAAACCAAATGCTGCTGTCAAAGAGTCTGCTATGGGCCAAAGTCTGCAACACAAATAACGCACATAAGTCTTCCATGTGAGATATTAGTTCTTTGTAATGGTAATCTCTAGAAAGAACACTCCAAAATTTTCCTTTTTGCTTCAAAGATGTATATGCAACACTCAACACTTACTTCAAAAAATAAAAAAAGGAATTAAAATTGGCTCCATCTTCTGTTATGCTAAAACTTACCTTCAGGAAAATAATCTAGTTAGACTGCATGAACAGTTTAATAATAGTGAGCATAAAGAATGAGTATTATGTTTAATATATTTGTAAACACACCAATATGCATGATTAAATCATGCGAATAAAGCAAATTCTAGACCACATTTCTATTTTGTTGTTCTGAATTGTGGTGTTGGAGAAGACTCCTGAGAGTCCCTTGGACTGCAAAGAGATCAAATAAATCAACCCTGACTGCTCTTTAGAAGAACAGATATTGAAGCTGAAGCTGAAACACTCTGGCCCATCTAATGAGAAGGAAGGACTCATTGGAAAAGACCCTGATGCTGGGAATGATTGAAGCAAAAGTTAATATTTTAATAACTTTTAACATTAGTTATATAGGTTTTAATCTGCAGCCAGGGTGGATCTGGATTTTATTTGTATTATGTTTTATTTTATTCTTCTTATTTAAGTAAGCCGTCCTGAGGCTCTGTGAAAGGACGGCATACAAATATTCTAAATAAAATAAAATAAAAATAAAATAAAAGGAGAAGGGGACGACAGAGGTTGAGGTGGCTGGATGGGGTCACTGGGGAGGTGGGTGTGGGGTTGGATGGACTGGGGTATGGTGAAGGACAGGAAACATAGAAACAGAGTAAGTCAGAAGGGGCCTCCCGGGCCATCTTGTCTGACCTCCGGCACCAGCCGGCTCCACTCACGACATGCCCACCATGTGCACATCCAGCCTATCCTTGAACACCCGCACCCATGGGGCCTCAATGATCTCTCACGGAAGCCCATTCCACACCCTCGGGGTCCTGTCAGGAAATGCTTCCTGGCATCCAAATGGAACCTTGGCTCCCTGAGCTTTGCTCCATTGGAACGCATCCTGCCTTCCTCTGCAGGGGAGAACAGGTCTCTACCCATCTCCATGTGACATCCCCTGACATACCTGTATGTCACCAACATATCCCCTCTGAGTCTCCTCTTCTCCAGGCTGAAGAGACCCAGTTCCTTCAGTCTCGCCTCATACCCCATCCCCTACAAACCAGCCACCAACCTTGTGGCCCTACGCTGCACTGACTCTAACCTGGCTATATCCTTTCTGTAATGAGGGGCCCAAAACTGAGCACAATACTCCGGTTGCGGGCGCACCAGAGTCATATAGAGTGGTAGTAATACTTCTCTTGATCTAGAAGCCACACTTCTGGCTATACAACCAAGGGTGGCGTTCGCCCTCTTGACCACCGCATCACACCACTGACTCATGTTTAGCCTGCAGTCAACCAGTACCCCGAATGTTCTACATGGCCCGCAAAGAGTCGGACATGACTTTGCGACTGTTCCCAAGATGTTGATGTTTAGTCTTGTCATTTCATGTTTGACCACATCCAACTTACTTTGATTCATAGATCTTACATTCCAGGTTCCTATGCAGTATTGTTCTTGACAGCACTGGACTTTCCTTTCACCACCAGTTACATCTGCAACTAAGTGTCTTTTGGCTTTGACCCTGTCGCTTCATTCCTTCTGGCACTACTAGTACTAGCCCTCCATTCTTCCCCAGTAGCACACTGGACGCCTTCTGACCTTAGTGGCTCATCTTCCAGTTTCATATCTTTTAGCCTTTCAATTCTGTCCATGGGGTTTTCATGCAAGGATACTAGGCTGGGTTGCCATTTCCTTTTCCAGTGGATCACATTTTGTCAGAGCTCTTTGCTATTACCTGTTCCTCTTGGTTGCCCCTGCACAGCATAGCTTGTAGCTTCATTGTGCTATCAAGTCCCTTCATCAAGGCAAGGCAGTGATCAATGAAGGGGATATTTCTATTACACCATTTATAATTCCCATTTATTATATTTGGACTAAAGGGGGGGCGAGGCTTCTTAATTGTTTTTAATACGACTACTATGTGATGGGAATTCATGCTATTACTCAAATAACACTCCCCCCCACACACACACACACAGTCTTTTTATGACTAAGTAGTTGTGTCATTTTTATCAGGTTTTTTTTGACAGGTACAGCAATGTATTCACTGATACCAGTAACTCTATGCAGATTTTTACTAAAAAGAAAGTGTGCCAGATCAAGCCAAACTAAATACTTTAAAGTTCTAATGGAAGCCGGCAGACACCTCACTCTCCCCTTGATGTGATGATAATGCTGAAGCTTACATGGCATCGAAGACTGCCAGTTATATTGGCATCGAATTGATCGAGCAGGGTATTTTTGCTCATCTGCGCAGCAAGGCTACCAGGGTAGATGGCACAGCTTCCAGAACGTTATTTAAGCCCCAAGAGTTTGTTGTGGTTCCTTCCCTCGTACCTTTAAAGAAAAGCAAGTGCACCGCTGGCCTACAACGAAGTGTCTCGTCTTTCAGCCACAGCACTGCGACTTGATGAACAGCAACACCGCTTAAGGCAAGGACGCGGCACCTGCGGCCAAGCTTGCCAGCTAACGGGGCCGCCCTGCTCCGAGTCACTGCCAGGAGCGCGACGAGGCCGCCCCACAGCTGCTCTTCCCCCTCCCCAGGCTGCGCCGACCCCAACACCGCGCGCCTCTTCTCTCCCCCTCCCCCCCGCGGGAGTGAGGAGGGAGCAAGCAGGGCATCCGTTTGCACTTTAGTCCACGGGGATGGGATGAAAGGGGGCAGTCAGTACGGGAGGGAAGAAATAAGGAGCCTCACCGCCTTTCCGAGCCGCTCTCAGGTGGGTACCGAAGGTGACGGTTGCGGCCTCACGGGTGGCTACGTCGGGGCAGCTGCCAGCGTCCAGAAAACGGTCCGGGACGTCGCGGGCGAAAATTGGCTCGCGCGGCGACGGCAGCACGCGGTCTGCGCGAGGGGGGGGCGGGGAGGAGGAGGAGGGAAAGAGCCGAAAGAACTCGCGAGGCCGGAGCGCGTGGACGTGCCCGGTTGGGACGCGCTGGCCCCCGGAGTTTGTTTACGTCTCGAGTCGCCTCGCTGTAACAGGACCAGGAAAGGAGGGCAGTAGACGCATGCGCAACAAAGCGGTTTGTGACGTGATAGGCCAGACCAGGACGAAACTCTCCTGCGGGCTCATCGCCGAGGGAGAGGCGAGAGGGGGAAGAACGGGGCTTGCGAGGACGTGGGTGGGAAAAGATCGCGGCGCGTGTCCGCCCGTATTCCTACGCTTACGTTAATTATGAAGAAACCGCTTGGTAATGCTGGAACGGGAGACCGCAAACCTCAGCGAGCGCCTTTTCCTTACCTGCCTCAGGAACCGCCTCAGCCATTAAGGCCACCTGGTGCTAATCGCGTCGCTGCTGCTCTACCTGCTTAGCCATCGCGATTGCTCTTCCGGGTTGTCCTTTTCCCCCCATTCCCCTTTAGGGCTCTTAGGGCTGCTGTTTTCCTTCGGTAGTCCCTCCAGTATGAGTCCCTGATAAAAAGCAGTTGGAGAATAGCCTGCACCGGTAGACTAAACGGTTATTCTTTTGGTAGCTATGTGGAGAGTGTTATCAAAATAATTTAAAGCTTGATTTTTTTTATCTTCGTACCTGAAAATTCAGCAATATAAGTAATAATGAAAGACCGTGTGGGATAGTTGTTAAGAGTGTGGGACTGGGACTCAGGCGATCTAAATTCTAGTTGCCACTCAGCTATGGAGCTCACTGTGTGACTTTAGGCCCATTAAAGGCTCTTAGCCCATCCTACCTTTCAGGGTTGTTGTGAGGATAAAATTGGAGAGGAGCAGATTTATGCAAGCCACCACCTTATATTCACTTTCCTTATGGAAAGTGAAGTGGGAGAAAAACATAAACACAACAAATATGAAACAATAGGCGGGGAAAACATTGGCAGATAGCCCCTATGCCAGGATTTACCCATGCTGAAGTGAGGCTGACATCCCTCTTGGCAGTGGCATCAAACCAGGAAAAACCTTCTGCAAGACCAGATAGTAGCACGCTCCTGGTTAATAAAGTTTTTCCTCTCACATATATTTGTTTGTGGTGCTTTTAGTAATATATTAGCAACTGTTCATAATTGCATTAATATATTTTATTGGATGTTGGCTCTGGGAAATTGGCTCTGGGATGTTGCTCTGGGAAAAGGCAACATGCAATAAGTCTCTAAATGTGAACTCTGGGCTGTTCTACAGACCTTCTGTCCTACTTAACCCTATTTTATGAAATTTAAAGATTGCTCAGTTGAAAGCCCAATTCACCAAATCAGAAGGTACAGGTTGCAGTCTCACTCTGATTATGCATATATTTTGCCTAATAGTTGCAATATTTTTCTGATTTCAAAGCTTATAGGGTATGTGAATATCAGTGGATAACTGTGACTAGGATCATGAATACAACCATCCCTTCATTCAACCTTGTCTTAATAGGCTCTGGTTCTCCATGTGTTTGGAAACTAAGCCATAGGATAAACTAAAATCCTTCAGAGAAGTGTGCAATTATAGAAAAATGCTACATGTTACCAGAGAAAATAGTCAGATCATTAGTTACTGGGTAGATTAAACTGTAATAAATTGGAAATCTTTAAATTGGGTATACAGGAATAATATTTGAGTAGAAACATCAGACTCATTGCAGTCTGCTTATTTTGTCTCCAAGCTTAAGCTAAGGAAAAAGCAATTCTGCAAATTCAGAGAAGACCAACTCTTTACAGTGCTAATTAGGTTGTATTTATGATGACATGGACTGACCATCCTTCTTATTTCAAAGCAGTTTTGCAACATTTCAATTTTATTTAAAGAGAGGGGAACAAATTAGTGTGTGAATAAATAGCCTTCTTGACACATGATAAGGGGTGGGGAGGAGTGGGAACAGACGGATTCCAAATATAACATTGTTTGTTAAGACATTCTTTCCTACAGTGGACAAATTATAAACATTAAGAAAACATGCAACTACTAAATATCTCCTGTCAACTAATATTTGAACCTATGGCTGATCCAAGAACTAGAGAGAACATTTACTGTGTTTCAATGATTCTGAAACCAGGCAATACCTTTTTGTGTTTCACATATTCCAGTTTACTTAGAAGTACAGCCTTTTCATAAGAAAGGTGGGGCTAGATGAATCACCAGTTGGAATTAAGATTGCTGGGAGAAATAACAACCTCGAATATGCAGATGATACCACTCTAATGGCAGAAAGTGAAGAGGAACTAAAGAGCCTCTTGATGCGGGTGAAGGAGGAGAGTGCAAAAGTTGGCTTGAAACTCAACATTAAGAAAACTAAGACCATGGCATCTGGACCTCTCACTTTCTGGCAAATAGATGGGGAAGAAATGGAGGTAGTGACAGATTTTATTTTCCAGACGGGGACTCCAACCAAGAAATTAAAAGACGCTTGCTCCTGGGGAGAAAAGCTATGGCAAATCTAGACAGCATACTGAAATGCAGAGACATCACCCTGCCAACAAAAGTGTGTATAGTCAAGGTTTTCCCAGTTGCAATGTATGGCTGTGAAAGCTGGACCATAAGGAAGGCTGAGCGCCAAAGGATTGAGGCCTTTGAATTGTGGTGCTGGAGGAGACTCCTGCGAGTCCCCTGAACCGCAAGGCAATCAAACTGGTCAGTCCTAGAGATCAACCCTGACTGCTCTTTAGAAGGCCAGATAGTGAAGATGAAACTCAAATACTTTGGCCACCTAATGAGAAGGAAGGACTCCCTGGAGAAGAGCCTAATGCTGGGAACAATAGATGACAAAAGAAGAAGGGGACGGCAGAGGATGAGGTGGCTAGACGCAGTCACTGAAGCAGTTGGTGTGAGCTTAAGTGGACTCCGGGGGATGGTGGAGGACAGGAAGGCCTGGAGGAATGTTGTCCATGGGGTTGCAATGGGTCACGACTTCGCGACTAACAACAACATCAGCCTTTTCAAGATCTGCTTCAAACCAGTATTCTTTTTTGCTGGTATATACCTCTTATTATTTTTGTTGTGGGAGCAGGAAGCTGAGTGTACTGTATGGCAACCCCCCCCACTGAAATCATGGTACATCTCTGCATCCTCTGAAAACTTAATACAAACAAAAATCTGTCACTGTTGCATGCTTCATACTTGTTTGAATGGCTAAGTCTCCTCCTTTCATATACATTGTTTTTGCATAGTAAACACTAGTATAAATATGACAAAAAGGCCAACTACCTACTGTAGTGACAAGTTCTAACCTGTTCAACATCCAAACAATCTTAGGCTCCTGGCAAGTCAGTCTGATACTTTTTCAGTCATTTCAGTCTCAGTTCCATATTGCTAAAACTGGAAGGTTAAAAAGGCAATAGTAGCAATAGGGCCATAAGGGTACAAGGATGCCAAAGCAATTTATGTAAATAAGAGAGTGTGTAAGGGTACTTCCAAACAAAACATTTGTGCCATCAACTTGCCTCATTCCGTGAATGAGGCAATGTTGTCTTCTACTTGTAACACTCTCATATTTTCCTACCACGTCTATCTTTTTTCCTTACATGGAAAATCTGTTAGGGGAAAAAATGAGAGAATAACTATGTAATGCTTTCTGACAGTTAACAGAAGGATGCGTCCATCTGGAAGCACTCTAAAACAAGTTCTAACTATGGTTGTTTCCAAACAAGTGTTCTTTAGCATTGTTAAAACACTTTTTTGTAGTCATCTAGAAACAAAATTTAAACAGTTCCAAATGGCCCTTAAATGGAAAACTATATTTGTCATTAAGAATTTAACACAGGATTTTCTTTTAAGTTTAAAAGAGTATTGTTCAAAAAGTGCATACACATTAAGAAACATATTTACTGCATTTCAGATTTATATTCTACAACATTTATATCTGTGTTGTACACATTTCTAAATAAAAAATGTAATGCTAAAAGTGGAACATCAGAACATCAGACCACTGTCATTTATGAGACTTTCACAACACGATTCAACAAAGAAACAGGCAACAAACAAATGTAATTAAGAGAACAGTTGGTTTTAACCACTATTATTTAGTCTCAAACATCACTAATAACAATATGTCATGAAACTGCCCCTTTTGCAGATAGTTTGAGTTTTAAAATATGATGTAATGTCTCTTTTAAAAATATATTCCCAAAGTACTTCTCTATTCTGCTTGTAGACTATTTTATTCTTTATTTTTTTAAAATCAGAAGCACATTTTTGTTGATCCTAAGAGGGAAATTCTGCTCACAGGATGCACCTGTTGGCAAAAAGGAAGAGAGCAGAAAGATGATTTTCACCTATTCTTCCTGCAGTCCCCTCAAAATCTGTTCCAGAGTTGAGTAGCCCTGGAATATGGGAAGTGGTGCCAAAGGAAACACCTTTTTGTGAAAAGGAGCCATTTTCATAGAAGAGCTAGTCAGAATCTAAGCTATTGTGAAAAACTTTGTAAGTGCCCTCAGATTCATTTTAATTAAGTAACAATGGTCACATGTAATTATATATCTGGATAGGGGAAGATAGTGGGGTGGGCAAAGAGGACAGTGGTATACACGGATGGGGTGGGGAGAGGGCCAACTGAGAGAGTACATGATCTCCACCTCTCTTTCCTTAAGCATGCCACTAATGTCATTATGCATCAGGGCTAGTTTACAAAATAGCATTCTAATCTATAATTGTGTGGCTCACTTTAGTATATGCAACATACTTTTATATAGCAGAATCATGTTCTATTGTTCTTAAGGGGGGTAATTTACCAACTAGTTCCAGTACACCTACAACTATGTAAATGGTCAGTGAGTTAGCATTAGAGCAGTGATTTCCCTGCAGGAATAAAAATCATCCTGATAGTTATCCTGATAGTTATTGTGGAATACATCTGCAGAAAATGTCTTCTGTAAAAAGGCCAGTTCCAGTGGCATTCTTCAGCACTTTCAAGGTCACTTCATAACCAATTCAGTTATTAATAAGGTTTGCATACAATTAAGACTTAAAAGGATTATTTAAGTATGAACTTTAGCATGTGTTTTGTTAAACAACACTAAGTTTTTCCTTGGAAAGACAACTTAAACTTTAAGGTCTTGGTCGGGACCAAAGTCCAGTGCTTTCTTATAAACTTCAGCGTAAGTATGATTGGACTAATGAGGGTTAGGAAACCAATTATTGCTGCTTTCTCTATGAACACCTTACAAAGGGCCAGTTCACATAATAGTTGTCCATGTGGGCACTTCACATTGTTTCCACCTACATATTTACAGAGAGCTATATTGTATAAACATAACTGATCACAGATACAGTCAGTGGTACTTCCTGTAGCATCTTGTGTTGGTTTTTTACATGTATGTTACTATAAATATTTTTTCAGTATGGCCAGGATTGCTCATGAAAAGATATGTCTGACTTGGCCCTAGAATTTCATGCAGAACAGAATACATTTAAGACATAGCGTGACAATCCATTCCATACAATCCAATCCATACTATAAAATATGTAATAAATATAAGCATTTTAATGTAATTAAGGCAAAATTTTGGTCCTTTTATAACATTACAGTGCCAATAATGCACCTTAGATTTCTATGTGAGTACAATGCATTATCTGCAGTGAGGCACGACTCCTAGAAATAACTCATATTAATGTCACAGCTGCCTGCAATAAATTAGGAATTTTGGAGACTGTATATCACAGGATTATTTACGTATTAGTCCTTAGCTTTTCTAGGCATTTCAGTAGAAACTTCAGGTACAGAATGTACTCCAGCTGTAAGGCTTGAGCGCCTTGATGAAAGCTCAGAGGCAGGGATATGACGTAATTCTTTGCGAGAAAGTTTTACTGGGGTTACTCCTTGAAGCTGGGTCCCAGTATCTTTTGCCTGAGAATGACAGGATGCTTGTGGTTGCGATTTTGCAGGCTGCTGTATTTTCCCTGTTTGCTCTTCCTGAATACCAGAAATATTGAATAGCAGTTCTACAGTTTCTCCAACTCTATGTGAATTTTGCTGTGCTTCCAACCCATCTACTGCCTGGTTTTTTTCTTTGAATTTTCCTACTGATTTGGATATCCTGAATTCTTCTGACAAGGCACTTGCTTCTTCTTGATTCAGGATTCCATCTGTAGAACAATAACCTAAAAAGAAATAAAGCGGTCAGTACAGGTATTACTGGTGTGTGTGTTCTGTTGTATGTTGTTAGGAACTGTAGATGGTTGAACTATTTTTTGTAAAGTATCCTAAGTGTGTTGACAGAAATGACTAAATAAAGAAAATGGTAAAATATAGTGGTTTGAATCCTGAGTGAGCCTTCACCAAATGGAAGGACTTCTTTCATTCAGGGAAACAGCTCCAGTTCAGTGGAGGCTTCTGCTAGCAGAAAAAAGTGGAGGGATGGGGAGATTTTCACATATTCTCATTACAGACTCCCATACTAACTCCCACACTGTTCTACAGAATACTAAAACTTAGCATATAGGTGAGTTTTGGGGAAAATCTGAAAATTATCTCCTATTTCTGCTAATGGAAGAGTTGCAAGATCCACTGAGAGTGTTGTGGGGGGGGGGGATGTATGCATCTGAAAATTAAAGATTAACCAGGTATTCTTCAAGAAAAACCAATATAGTGTCAAAAAAGCTGAAATCTAATATGCCTTCCAGACATACCATATTCAAATACAATATCAATGCAATCCAGCTACATTATGCTTAATGAGACTTTTGCCACTATACTTAAAGAAAAGTATATTTCAGCTACATATAATTTCTAGCTCTAATATTGCTATATTTACTTTGTGTCAGAGGATGATGGTGTATTGATGGTAAGTCTCCAAGTAGTTCCTTTAATTTCTTCTTTAATTCTCGGCTGGATTTCTTATAGAAAAACAAATCTCTTTCTAGTTGTTGGACTTTAGCTTCATATGTTTTAAGGGTTTCTGCAATACTTCCACCATCTTGTTCTGGAAAGACAATTCATTTTAGTTTCAAATTTGCTTTGGTTTCGGTTCCATTCTATAAAACAGAGTTGCATACCAACATCCTGTTTCCTACAAGTGGTTAACCAAATGTCACTATAAAGTCACCACTGTCAAATACCTTTGCAATGAAGTAGTATTAATTGCATTTTTTGTTCATGTTCTTTTTGCTGGAGAGTCAGACGCCTGTCACACTGCAGCATGAGATGTTCAAGTGCCAATTCAAGTTCTCGTATTATGTTTTCTTGTTCCATTACCCTCATTCCCAGTTCCTCAGCCTGCAGTTGCAATTTACGTTCAGTCTCACGGAGCCTGACAACCTAAAAAAAACAAAACAGACTTTCTTTCATTAAAGTGTCCCTAACCATGAAAATTAGGCATATCAATATTACAGTATTATAAAATCACCAGTCATAGAAAGTTAATAAATCACACATTTCACAGTTTATAATGACCCATTGACAAGTCATCCTATGTCACATCCATGAGATGCAAGTCAATAGAATTATTTTACCCAAGCACATTAGGAAAAGTCTATCATTTATACACATGACTATAGATTCCACAGATCTCCAAATTACAACAATAATATCCAGGGCTTTTTTGGTCATAGAACGCACCGGAACGGTGTTCCGGCACCTTTTTTTCCAATAGATTTTATGAAGTGATTTTGAATTGCCTGTCGGCGTAGCAGGTCAGCAGCAAACATCATTAATATAGTGCCTGCGGGCTGCTTTTGTGTCCGCGCCGCCAGGCTTGGGACGCTGCTCGGCTTGGGATTGGTGTGTGTGGTAGCGCGCTGAGTGCTTACTGCCGACAGCGACGTGAGTTCTGGCACTTTTTTTTTTTACAAAAAAAGCACTGAAAATATCCATGAACAAAAACAGGGTTTAACTTTACTGTATGAACTTAACATATACAGGCAGTCCCTGGGTTATGGACGAGTTCCATTCCTGAGAAAATGAAAATTGTCTTTTAAGTAAGTTGGATCATGTATAGTCAGCCTTCCACAATTGCAGAAGTTAGGGGTGCAGGATCCCCATGAAAGTAGAAAAAAGGCAGGCTGCTTACCTTTAACTGTCATTCTTTGAGTTGCCACCTGTGCATTAACACATTGCGGTTGCTGTGCCTGCGCAGTGCCTGCTGCCAGGAAGACAAAGTACTGTACGATACAATAGATAACACTAACCCTGGTGTGGGGGAGCTTATTGTTTGAAGAAGAGTCCAAACGATAATTGTGCAATAGTGATCATGCTGGGGGTGGGGGAGATGGCCGCGATTGCGAAGGAAAGATGGGCACAATCGTAATCGTCACCCAATGCAGAGTTCGCGACCTGAGGCAAAATTTTTGTTTGCAACCCAATTTGGTCGTGAACTGAGGCGTTTGTGAGCCGAGGTACCACTGTACACGGAGTAGACTATGTAGCTGCCCTGCAAATGTTGTGCATGGGAATGCCGGCAGTAAGGGCGCAAGAGGCCACAACAGCCCTTGTAGAATATCCTTTAGGAGCGCCTGGTAGGTCGAATTTGGAGAGATGATAAGACAGTTCAATTGTCTCCACTATCCATTTCAAAAGTCTTTGAGTGGTAACCGGAGCTCCCTTGTTGTGCTCCGAGTATTTGATGAACAGGCATTTGGTTTTCCTAAAGGACTCGGTTCGGGATTGATAGAAAGCTAAGCACTGTCAAACATCTACTGTATGCAAGGAGTGTTCGATCAGTGTTGAAGGCGTAGGAAAGTAGGCCAGCAGGATATCTTGAATGACATGGAAAGGGTAAGTGACCTTGAGAATGTATTCAAATGTATCCATCATTGTTTGCCTCAGAGTTGTAATAAAGGGCAGAGTGATGGAGGATGAGTCCTCTTTTCTGATGATGTCGTAGATATTATCTTGATTTGGGTTGATGCAATGTTGAACATCAATCTCCAACAAATTCATCATCCTAGAGAGCAGCTGCGTGAAGCTGCCGTGTGTGTCCAGGGGAGCCCAGACCCTGGGTCAAGATCACGGCATCTGGCAACATCAATGCCTTTTGAGAGTTGTCTGAATCGGAACCTGAGTGGTACTGAGGACTCAAGGAGGACCCAACAGGTAAAGGCAGGAATCGAGAGAGGGCAGCTGCAGAGGTCGATGGAGCGTCCCTTGACATCGAATGAGGGGTGGAATGATGAGGACGGATTGGAGGCCTCGGGTAATAACCATAGGGAGGGTCCCATGGAGATGGATCAAACTCCCCGTATGGTAAAGGGACCCAGTATTTGGAAGGCTGAACTGGAACCTGTTGCTGTGGAAAGGAGGCTTGGCATTGAGGAGCCCTCGGCAGATCCCTCTGGAGATGTTGGCATTGGTGTCGGAGAACAGACAGGTAGCAGGTCAATGCACGACCGAGGCGGAAATTCTCAGAGTTTGCCATCCGATATCGATCCTCTAGCCACAGGGTCGGAACAATCAGGACTAGACAGAGACAAAATGACAATCCGAGGTGGAGACCCCGGCGGAGTCACTTGCATGACCGACTGAATGGTGGGTTCAATCGGAGCCAGGATTGAGGCAGCGATTGGGACCTAAGGTGGAGTGGACACCGATTCCAAGTGGGGCACCTTGGGATGCTTTTTGTGTCTGTGCTCTGCCTTGTTGGGCTTGTCCTTTTTGGGTCTTTTGGATGCAGAGGACTTGTTGGACCTGACATGCTTCCTCTTCTCCTTCTGCTTGCAGTGAGGAGAGTGAGAGGAGCACTTTCCCTCCTTAGATGTCGCATCTCCCTCAGATGGATGAGGAGTGGCCTTAGATGGACCAGTGGGTCTCTGCTGAGACCTTTTTCATGGCAACCAAAGCCTGATCCCAGAGCATCTTCCGCAGATGGTTTTCCTGGTTCTTGCAGGTCTGTTTGGTAAAGGACTGGTAAAGGCCGCACTTAGCTGTCCTGTGACCTTCTCCCAAGCAAAGAAGGCACAAGTCACATGGGTCAGTGGGGGACATTTTAGCCCCGCACTGTGAACACTTGCAGAAAGTCACCCACTGCACCATTGAAGAAAGAGTGAGGGAAAACAGCGAACAACAGAAGAATTAACAAGAAGAAGAACTATAGAAGGGTTTAAAAAAATATTTATTTTTTAGGGGGGAAGGGGAAAAGAGTAAGGGAGGAAAAACGATGTAAACAGGGGATTGGATGGGTTATAACTTGGATCAAGGAATAGAAAAAGGGCTGTAAAGTCAAGAGTATAACAGTAAAATGTTTTAAAGTCGAAAGGCTTGAGGCACAGCAAACAGCAGTCGCAAGAAGACTGGGGAAATGGCAGGCACTCTGCCCATTTATACTATGGGGGGCAAGGGTACAGATTTCCCACCAAAAACTGTTAAAGCTGTTTAACCTTCCTGGCAACAGGCACTGCGCAGGCACAGCACCCATAATGTGTGATGCACAGAGGCCACAATGAAGAACTTCAAATACCGCTAACCCCATCCCACCACCACACAAACTCACCAGCACTGCTGTCCTTTGCAGCAAAGAACTGCAAAGGATTTCCCTCTCCAAATGCAGTTGGTCAGGAAGGCATGCTTTGGAGGCCCCCCTCACAAATTGTTGTTTGTGCTTTTATGTAGACCCTGTTCAGAATTACATTTCTCCACAACGCATTCTCACTGTCGCTAATTAGCAAGAGAAAAAAATCAAACTGCCATTTTGTGCCAGCAGAAAGAACAAGCAGGTGTGTGTGTGTGTGTTTGCTTTATAGTCTTCTGACAACAAACCTTATTAAAATACTTTAAGAGAATTGCCTGAAGTTCATTAGCAGACAAGGAAACCAACTTTCCCGTCATATTGGCTTCACTATGCATGAGAATGTGTGTTGAGGCTCTGATTGAGTCCTGGTGATTTTGGATACTTTCATTCTTGTATGCAATGGCAACTTCTAAGGTTTCAATCCCTTCTTCAAGCTGGAATAGGACATGTTCTTCCTGGAAAGAAAACAAATTATGAAATAATTACAGTTCAACAGAAGGCTACCAATATGATAGCTCTGAAATATTCAGTATATTAGAATATGTCAGTATCCTAATAAATTAAGAACGTAATACCTTGTTACCATGATTGCTAAGTGTTACATTCTCCTATATCGACATATATTGTAAGTCATAATTTATACTAGTATTGTTTCTTCAGGTAAACTCACCTTCTAAAAGGTAATGAGCTGAAAGATCTCTAGCTACCTGGTATGCATTGAACTCAGCCTTATTTAGGGCAAAATCTAACATTATTCAAGCAGACTCCCATTCATACAATTTGATTTTCTGCTTCTCTACTCCCCCACTTGCAGCCCCCTATGTCCCTTTCAAAAATCTGCTTCAGAAGGTCCTTTGTCCCTTTTGAGCAGATTTTGAGGGTGCTAATACCACAGACAGAAGCCATTCCAATTCTTAAATTTATATCTCATTTCAGTGGTTTTTAAACTGTGTTTGAAACACAACCAGTGCCTAGAAAATGTACCATGCGTTTCTTAGGGTGATGGCTCAGACATGGCAAACAAGATTCCATGTAAGACTATTTGTCCACATCAACAAGCCTTTTTCTACAATGTGTAGCTGCACGATTGTACTGAATAAATTCTAGAACATACTCTCAGTTCATATGGACCAAAAATGTGGCATCTAATAGGTTCAGCTGCCACCCTGTTGGAACTGAATGCGTATCCAAGAATACTGCCTCAGTGAAATGGGAAAGATTTCTTTGGTCGCTTAGTATGGATAAAAAGGTAGAAATCTTTAAAACCATTGTCCTGCTTGGACCCTACGTCTCAGGATGAGCAATATCCCATCTCTCATTTTTTTCAAATGACTAGTGATTTCCACTTTTATACCAGCATGATAAAAAAGAGGGGGGGAATCCAATCCCTGAGAATTGGTTACATCATAACCATGTGCTTAACTACTCCCACATTTTCATTTGATTCAGGAATTGTAGGGAATGGGGCACCATAACCAAAATATGCAATAATCACAATAAATGTGCACTGCTGTTGTTCTGGTATATATTTTGGCTCATATTGGAACAGTATACTGAGCTTCAGCAGCGATTTTTATGGTAGTGAAAGGAAGAGAAGGGAAAGATTTGCACCCCACTGCTTTTGCTTCATGGATGCATGGGACAGCAGGTGCAAATACTCAATAACAGTAATGAGCAATGTCGATCAGAGAAAGGGGAATGATACCTGATTATGAGGGAATTTTTTATTTTCTTAATAGCTATTGGAACATTATGGCTGTGACATGATGGCTTCAGGAACTGTGCTGAGGCAGCTAACTTAGGCAAAAGAAAGCTGAGTGCACACAGTGCAATTGGAGGAGGGAAACTGTTTCACATGGGACAACAGGGACACTCTAAAGGGACTTGCAACTGACATTGTGTACAGGGTATCACTAATCCCAAAAAGGTTCCCACTGCACCAGAGTTGTTACCAATCTAAATCAGCTGTATCTTTAAAATAATTTCTTCTGAAATCATTTTAGAAAATGCCTTTTAATTTTATTTTAGTACCTCCGAATATTAGCTGTATTGCTATTAAAATGAATGTGTTGTCTATTAAAAGCTAATACTTATACTTATCAAATGGATAATTACTTACTTCAGGTGACAACACTCTACCATTCTTGAGTTTCTCATCCACACTGTTCCTTCTTTTCAACAGTTGATCCCTTTCCTTCTGCAGAGCCTGAATCTCTTCAAAAATCTTTCCCTGCTCATCAATGGTGCTACTCTGAAGCTGTATATTTTTGTCACATAATTCCTGATCCAGCATATTCAGACGGGAAGATAATTTCAAACTGTCTTTATTGAGAGCCTATAAAACCACAAATGAAAGCTCAGTTTCCTCCACTACCCCAAAATAGAGCATGGACTAATATGTAAATAATTCCAGTGCTGAATTATTTAGCAGGTTGGATCTGGACCAACAATCATGCTTTAGCACCACTGAAACAGGAATGAATTACTTAGGCCGAATTAAATCCAATATAGTAAACATTATAGGAATATTTGCTAAATATTTTGTGTCAATGTATGTTCATTATTATGGATGAAAAAGTAAAAATGTTAATGTGCAAAGTATCCCAGCAGTTTCAGAGAAAATTATATGTGGCATTTCACCACAAATCCACAGTATTTTACAAATATTAAATATTTCCTTAGCATTCCAGTTTTCAAAAGGAAAAGAAGAATGGACCAGGTAAACATCTTATGATCTTTGCCACAGAAGCAGAGTGCCATTTACTTTCTACATAACTCTCAAATCTCATTTTTAATTAGCAGCTTACAGTATTAAACAACAGAAGTACCTGACTAGATCTCAGTTTTTTTATTTCCAAATGGTTCTTCTCTTGCAGCAAAATTTCTTTCTTGGAAATGATAGCTTCTCTCTTTTTTAAATCTTCTTCCAGATTAGCTAATTCTTGACGTTGATGCAAAACTTTCTCTAACTCTTCATCCAGCCATTTCTTTTTCTCTTCAAATTTCTGCATCAACACAGAAAAGACATGCAAGCTCAGTGTAGATGTATCTTCAACTAGATGGACTTATTTTTTCTGCATAAAAATCAGCATTTAATCTCATTTTTCTATGACTTAACTGTAGGTGAATTTATATAGATCTGCCATGTGCTTTGGAAGTTCACCTCAGGAGCACTTGTAGAAAGCATTTGTGTTGGAATACTTCTGGAATACTTTACCAGTTGATATTCAACAAGCCCAACAGTTCTGATATTCAAACATCTCAAAACTAGGCTTTCCCTAAAATGTGAGCCAGCCAGCTGTGGTTTATACCACAGAGCAGAGTGTGCAGTTTTATTGATTATTAATTATATTGTGTTTATTATTATACTTGTTATTATGCCGTTCTGTCAAGTGCTTTGATACTTCTGTGGAAGGCAGTTCTTCTCCAAAGTAGTAAGAATGACCTTGGAGAAGGTGTCACCTCTCATTTTGGGAGGTGGGAGGAGAGGAAAGCAGCACTACTGCTGTTTTCCTTAACAGTGTTGGGTTTGGATACACATAATCCTCTAAGTTCAGAGGGATGTGAGAATCCCAGATGGGTTGCATTCTTAGCTGATGCAGCATACTTAGTCACTGAAAGACATGATATCTTCTTGACTTTCTGTCAAGTTAATGACACATTTTTCCTTGCTTTGTAAATTTTTAATTAAAATATTGCAGCCCTCAATCCATCTAAATAAAGTCTAGTTACTACTACTTTAGGACCTAGTAGAAAAGGATACTTCTGCTACGAAGACAGTAGCACTTCAGCTCATCAGGGTAACAAAATACTACTTACCTGCAGTTGCTGTGGAGTTCCAGTTGAATTGTTCCTCTTAATTGCAGCAATTTCTTCATCTTTTAGTTTTAGAATTTTCTCCTGTTGTTCTGTCTTTTGTTGAAGCTCCTGTAAGTAAAGCAGCAGCATTTCTGAACATATATCAAGTATTATTATATATACTACAGAATTAGGCATTTTATTTCTTGCAGTGAAAACAAAGCTTTAGAAGAAGGATTTTTTTAAACTCTGGAAGTATAGTAAAACAGATTGTATGAATTATTTTGAAATACCTAAAATATTTTAGGTATTTTTAAATACCTAAAAATGCCTTTTCATAACTTTTCCTAATATTGAGTATTTATAACTCACTTCAGAGTCTGCAAAACTCTGGATATAGTAATCCTTATCGTACTTTATAGAAGGTCTTCATTACCTCCTAACTGCAGACTGGGTGGAGATATGGATGAAACCGGCCGCCTCCTCGCTGTGTAAGACCGCGCCGCGCCGGAGGGGAGCCGCTGCCTGGCCGCGTAAGACCGCGCCGCCATCCACCGCCCACTTGGCTGCTCCGCCACGCCCCAGCACGTGTGGCAGGCGTGCTTCGGACGAGGCGGGGGACGCAGGGCCGGCGGCTACAATGCCCGCGGGAGGAGCGCGCCAACAGCAACACCTACTGCGCCCGGCAGCCTACGCCGGAGGAGGGCCGCCTCCTCGCTGTGTAAGACCGCGCCGCGCCGGAGGGGAGCCGCTGCCTGGCCGCGTAAGACCGCGCCGCCATCCACCGCCCACTTGGCTGCTCCGCCACGCCCCAGCACGTGTGGCAGGCGTGCTTCGGACGAGGCGGGGGACGCAGGGCCGGCGGCTACAAAGGGCGTCGGCCAAAGGACAGTTGCCGCCGTTCGGGTGGCCGAGCAGGGGGCGGGGCTGGCCAGGGGCTTGCGCTTGGCGATGGTAGGCCCTCCTGCTGGGGTGTGAGTGAGGGGTGAGTGTGTGTGTGTGTGTGTGTGTGTGTGTGTGTGTGTGTTTAGTAGTATTTTAAATCTTTTTATGGAGTCGTCCCTGGCCATGCTGCCGCTTATGTTTCCTGGGGAGCGCACGGGTGCCGCCATTGAGGTGGTTATGGGCAGGGGACGTAACAGCGTTGGGAGCTTAACGTGTCCGCATAGAAGAAGGAGGGACAGATGGCTGACACCTGTCCCTACCTCTGGTTTTGCTCCCAGCCAGAGGGTGCCAGGGAGTCTCGTCAGTCGCCCCTCCAGCCTGACGGTGCTGTTGCTTAATGCCAGGTCGGTCAATAACAAATCTGCCCTCATCCAGGACCTGATTGTGGATGAGGGGGCCGACCTGGTCTGCATAACGGAGACCTGGGCGGGAGAGGGGGGGGATGTTGCCCTCTCCCAAGTGTGCCCGCCCGGGTATCTGGTCCAGCACTGCTCACGGCTGGAGGGGAGGGGAGGGGGGGTCGCTTTGGTATACCGAGCCTCCATCTCCCTCACGGGACTTCCGGTCCCTTCGAGACCAGGGCTGGAGTGTCTCTATTTGGTGTTGGGCGACCGAGACAGACTGGGGATTCTGTTGGTGTACCGCGCACCCTTCTGCCCAACAGTCTCCCTGCCTGAGCTGACGGAGACTGTCTCGGACCTGGTGTTGAGGACCCCCAGGATGTTGGTCCTGGGGGACTTCAATCTCCATGCCGAGGCTAGTCTGACCGGGGCGGCTCAGGACTTCATGGCCTCCATGACGGCCATGGGGCTGTCTCAACATGTCACCGGCCCCACCCATGAACGGGGACACACTCTGGACCTGGTTTTCTCGACGGGGCAGGAAGAGGGTGGTCTGAGGGTGAGTAATTTATGCTTGACTCCCCTGTCATGGTCAGATCACTTCCTGGTGAGGTTTATGCTCGAGAGCGACTTCTCCCTCTGTAAGGGTGCGGACCCGATTATGTGGGTCCGCCCCCGGAGCCGGATGGATCCAGAAGGATTCCTGAAGGCCCTGGGGGAGTTTCCGGCTGACAAGACGGGTGCTCCTGTCGAGGCTCTGGTCGAACTGTGGAATGGGGAGATGACCAGGGCTGTAGACACGATCGCTCCTAAGCGTCCTCTCCCACCGGGCAGAGCCCGCTCTTCCCCTTGGTATACTCCTGAATTGAGGGCGATGAAGCAGGTTGGGAGACGACTAGAGCGTAGGTGGAGGAAATCACGAGATGAATCTGACCGAACACACTTAAGAGCCCACTATCGGGCCTATGCTGTGGCGGTGAGGGCGGCAAAAAAGAGATTCTTTTCCGCTTCCATTGCCTCCTCACAATGCCGTCCGGCGGAGCTCTTTCGAGTGGTGCAAGGCCTGGTCCGTCCAGGTCCAAAGGAAGACCTGATTCCACCCTCAAAGACCCGCTGTGACGACTTTGCCAGGCATTTCAGGGAGAAAATCGCTCAGATTCGTCACGAGCTGGACACCACTATTGATTCAGAGGTTTCAAAGGAGACACCAATGCTGCCGTCTGGTCCAGATTTATTGGATGAATTTCAGTTATTGCGGCCCGATGATGTGGACAAGGTGCTTGGGCGAGTACGTCCAACCACTTGCCTTTTGGACCCTTGCCCGTCTTGGTTAATAAATGATTCCAAGCACGGGATTGGAACCTGGATCTTGGAAGTGGTTAACGCTTCTCTGAGGGAGGGTCGGGTGCCGGCCCCTTTGAAGGAGGCGGTAGTCCGACCGGTCCTGAAGAAGGCGTCACTGGATCCAGAGATGGCCACTAATTATAGACCAGTGGCCAACATCCCGTTTCTGGGCAAGGTGTTAGAACGAGTGATGGCGGGACAACTCCAAGCACTCTTGGATGAAACTGATTATCTGGACCCATTGCAGTCCGGCTTCAGACCCGGGTACGGTACTGAATCTGCCTTGGTCGCCCTGTATGATGACCTGTGCAGGGAGAAGGACAGGGGGAGTGCGTCCCTGTTGGTTCTGCTGGACCTCTCAGCAGCTTTCGATACCATCGACCATGGTATCCTTCTGGATAGGCTTGCGGGATTGGGGGTTGGAGGCACTGCTTTGCAGTGGTTCCGCTCCTATCTCAATGGCCGGTTCCAGAAGGTGGTGCTGGGGGACTATGGCTCTGCGCCATGGCAGCTATGCCATGGAGTACCGCAGGGGTCCATTTTGTCCCCTTTGCTGTTCAACATATACATGAAACCGCTGGGAGAGGTCATCAGGAGGTGTGGGCTGCGGAACCATCAGTACGCTGATGATACCCAGCTCTACCTCTCGTTTTCCACCAATCCAGGTGAGGCAGTGGCTGTGCTGAACCGGTGCCTGGCCGAGGTAATGGGCTGGATGAGGGCCAATAAACTGAAGCTCAATCCAGACAAGACGGAGGTCCTGTTGGTTGGTGGATCGGGCTTCGGAGAGGGTGAATTGAACCTTGTCCTGAATGGGGTTGCACTCCCTCTTAGGGACAAGGTCCGCAGCTTGGGAGTGCTCCTCGACCCAGAGCTTTCACTGGAAGCTCAGGTAACAGCAGTGGCGAGGAGTGCTTTCCTCCAGCTTCGGCTAATTCATCAGCTGCGCCCCTATCTGGAGAATGACTGCCTTGCGACAGTGACACATGCGTTGGTGACTTCCCGTTTGGACTTCTGCAACGCGCTCTACGTGGGGCTACCCTTGAAGACGGTCCGGATACTTCAATTGGTCCAAAATAGAGCTGCCAGGCTGCTGACGGGGACTGGACGTTATGTTCACATGACTCCAGTTCTCCGTCAGCTTCACTGGCTTCCCATTGAAGTCCGGGCCCAATTCAAGGTGTTGGTTATGACCTATAAAGCCCTAAACGGCTTGGGTCCTGGTTACCTGAAGGAGCGCTTACATCCTTATATGCCCAGCCGCCCCCTGAGATCGGCGGGAGAGGCCCTTCTCCGGGAGCCCTCCATGGAAGAAGTTAGGAGGGTGGTTACTCGGAGGAGGGCTTTCTCAGCGGTGGCGCCTAAGTTATGGAATGCGCTCCCCAGAGAGGTCCGCCTGGCGCCGTCGTTATTTGTTTTTCGGCGCCAGGCGAAGACCTTTTTATTTAAGCAGTATTTTAAATGTTAATATTATTGAATTTTATTTGGCCAGGGCGGCTTGTTTTATAGTGTATATTTGTATTTTATTGTATATATTTTAAAATGTTATTTTAAATTTTTTGTTGTAAGCCGCCCCGAGGCTTCGGCGAATGGGGCGGCATAAAAATGTTTTAATAAATAAATAATAAATAAATAAATAAATAAATAAATGTTTTGCAAAATGATTTCAGGGTTGAGGTAAAATTTGAACTGCGGACCTCCTGGCTTAGCCACTAAAATACATCACCTTCTCACTCTCACTGACCTTGCATAATATTATACATATTTAAGAAAGAGTCTCAAAGTTATACACCACAGCCAATGGAAGGTAAGGAAATGACTGCTATTATAGCTTTATTAAGAAACAGAAATGAATTATCTTGCCTTAATCTGTAGTTGTCCTTGTTGAATTTCCTCTTCCAAGATTTTCTTTTTTTCACTCTCCTCTCGCAACTTTTTTTGTAGCTCAGCTTGTTGATTTTTCATGTGATTGACATTCTGTTCTACTTCCAAAATACGCTTCTCATTTTGAGTGGATAATGATGCCAACTTCTTAGTGTCTTGCTGCTTTCTTTGTAAGACCTAAGGTTACATAGCACAGTTTAGTTCTGGTTAGATATTGCCCTGCTGTGTTGTACAATTATTTTATTATCTGAATTGTTCAGCTTTACAATTAAGTTTTGTTTTATTCTGATCTTTTGTTTATGAGTTTAATTGCATTTGTGAGCTTTGCCTGAATACTTTTTGCTGCATGTCAGAAAAAAAGGCAGACAGAATATAAGCAAGCAATATAAGTATTTGGTCAAAAAGTAATTATATTTGACTAGGTCAGCAACAAAGCTGTACATATTTTGTAATCAAGCCAGATAATGTTTGTTACTAGCGAATTAAAAATATAATAAAATTATTTTGTACAGAGTAGAATTTATGTAGTACTTTTACAAAAGAAATCAACTACTTGAGAAATGATTTGCAAATAGGTAAGATTTTATTGCTAGTTTATAGTATGCTTACACTCAGTCAAAAAATAAACTATGTACAAATTATCTGGCCAATAAAAAATCAGTATGATTGATGGGGAGAAATGTGTTTCTGAAAAAAAAGCCAAAATTTGAAAAAGAATTATGGGTATGTGGTTTTGCATAAAGGCATGCTTTCAGTTCACAGCAGAGGTGAAGATATGAACAGAGACTTTTTTATCCTTGGATTAATTTCTTAGCCATTATACTACACCAGCTCTCAAGTCTGTATCTACCATATCATATCAGATGGGCAATACAATTAAATTTATTGTGACAGAGTACTATCTTCATCATTGTCAGGAAACTGAGTAGAATCTATTTTCATTTAACATGCTATAATAGGAAATTGTTATTCTCCCCCAATTGCAAGTACCTGAACTTTTAGCTTAGCAGCATCCATCTTCTTCCTAAATTCTTTCTGTAATCTCACTTTTTCAGTGATGTCTCTGAGTTCCTTCTTCTCTAACCCCTGCAACTGCTTTTGTGTTTCAGCTAAATCCATTTTGGCCTTCTCTGCTTCCTGTTCCAGCTGTGTTATTTTCAGAGAATACTGTTTGCTTACAGATTGGGCCTCATTGCCTTAAAAATTCCCAAACATAAAAAAGTGAGACATCATTTGTGATACTGGCAGTGAAGCAACTCATTGCACAAAATGATGAAACAAAATCAATTTATTTGAGATTGTTATTATTTACTACTAATTCTTATCAATAATTTAATAGTAAGCTTTAAACCATATTCATTATAAACACAAACTTTCCTCCAAGCTATTCTAGGTAGTGTACCAATGCTTTCTCTTCTCCCCAGTTTAGGGGGCAGTGTCAGTATCCTCTTCAATGTCAGAGAAGCCATAGAATATTTTGGATTCTCTAATCCAGGGTAGGAGATAGCACTCTGACTTCATGGGAACAATCAGAAAAAGAACCATACCAGCTGCTCTCCCAAGCTAGGAATTCAACCTTGGAGCAGGGTTATTTGTGTGTGTGGGGGGGGGGGGGGGCTGATTGTAGAAGCCAGGACATGCATTCTGCTGAGCCCTCTTTAGCTTCTTTTCTTCTCTCCTTGACATGCCCCAACTAGAAGGGCAAACACAGCCCATTTAGTGAAAAACAGGAGCAGGAGAATGGGAAGGCAAATGTTATCTTTGCTAATCCTCCTGCACAGCACATGATACTCATAAGCCTCCAAGTCCAGAGGCTTAAGATTACTGAAACCCACAGGACTGCTCACTTGTTCGTCCAATGTTCCTGTGAGGTATGTTGGGCTAAGAAAGTACAACTGGCCCCAAATCACTAAATTAAACCTCCACTGCTGAGGATTTGAACCCATCTCCCCAATCCCATTCCTGTGTGCTATCCATTACACTAACCTTGGTCTTAAGCATTCTCCTAATTTTTCTTGAAACAAGTACTTCAGTCATGGTTGGTCTTTTAAGACTATTTACTACATTACTTTGATATTGTTCCTATATATATATTTGTATATAATATGCATTTCACAAAATCCAGTTACCTGTTTTCACCAGTTCTTTAATAAGTTCCTCTTTCATTCTGATATTCAGTGTAAGTTCGCTCATTTTTTGCTTAGCAGCAGTAAGTTTTAGCTCTGAATTCTTTAATTTCTGCATGTTTAATATCTGATCTTTCTGGATACATTCAATGTCAACACCTTGAAAAAAAATTGTAAAACTTGAATGAACATTCAGCACAATCCCAAACAAAATGGGACAAAGCCTAACTTTTTCACTATAAAAGTTACTTTAGGATCCACAAGCACACAGAGATAACATTTCGTAAGTAAGTTTTTTTTTTAACAAGAGAAGACTCAGCCACCTGCATTGTAATCCTGATCTTAGCTGTGTATAATCTATTAAATGCAGAATATACATGAACACTTGCGAGTTACATGGAAGTGGAGAAAGTGAACAAAATATAACATGAATGGGATTTCACATACACCCTGGTCAACAGAAAGTACGCAAGCAGGATTTGAGAATGTGGACAATGTCATGCAGGACAGTCAAATAATGTTCAGATTGTATACTGGTCAGTCAATGATTGTGTTCACATAATTTGACAATCTACTGTGGATAACTAAATGTGGTGGGTTCCTAGAGTTGTGCAACTGCAGAAGTTCAAATATGAAATGGGAAAACTTGCCTGGGCAATGTCCTGATAAGCACCTGCTCCTGAAGTGCAGCAGGTACCAACCATGGACACTGTCAATAAATGCTTCAATAAGTTATTTTGTAACTTTACCATAATTTGACAGCTGTCAAATGGAGACCTGTCAAGGGAAAGCAAAACTGTGAAAGATCTTGGCCTGTGAAAAGGGGGTAATGATTTTTTTTCCCTCTTTGCAGTGAGATCCTCAGGGCATTTAGTGTTCCCCCTATAGTTCCCAGTTTGCCCCAGCTTCTCACTTCCCTTAAGTTTCCAGCTACTCAGGAAACATGATCATAAGGCAACCCCCTTTTTGTGGACATTTCTTCTGACAGCTTTCAAAAGAATTTTTAACATTTTCTGGCAAATTTCAACTTTGTTTTTTTGACAGAGATATGCAGCCATGAATCTGTGCATATTTTCCTGTTCAAAAACAAATGAGCAGATATGTCAGAAAGTGTACACTCCAAGTTGAAACTTCTCATGTGTTTATTTCTTTTTAGCTTTATGGGACTGTACATAATTGTAAGTGGTTTTTAAATAAATAAATATATACAAGTAGTCCCCAGGTTACAGATAAGTTTGTTCCTGAGAATGTCCTTAGGTTGAATTTGTATGTAAGCAGATCACCTGAGTACACCTAAGGTTTTTGTATATGTATTTAACTTTCTATACATATAAAACACTTAAACATTTCCATATTCATTAAAACTTCTTAAACACAATACAGCATTGTAATAATGATAACAATACAGTAATAATAAAGAAACTAAAGGCACTGAGGAGGGAAAGAGAGAATCTGTATGTTTGTATTGTAAACAGTATCGTATTTTTACAGTATTGTAAAAAACAAACCATTCTTAAAGCAGTTTAGAACATTCTTGGGGTAACATTAAGCCTAACATTAACTGATGATAATGGAGACAGACCTAGTGCTGGAAAGTCAGGATTTGATTGTGCTCCTGCAGTGGGGAAGGGAGTTGCTTTCTTGAAGTAGATACCAAGGGTTGTTTGTATAGCCATTGTCTTTTTCTCATCATAAATGGCCTTGTACCAGCTGAGAGCCTCAGTAACTGCATGGTAAAGCTTTGTGAATTTCTCTGTGTTAGGATCTTGTTCCTCAAGGTTAGCCATTCCTACTTCATTGTGACAAAAGCCTTCAGCTCTTTCATTACAAACTTTTTTGGTTCAGGAGAATGTGTCCCATTCTTCTTCCTCATGTGCTTTCAGCTGCTCCCCTATCTCCATAATGTCTTTGTCACTCAATTTTTTGTAATAGGACTTGAGTAACTCTACAACATCATTTTCATTGTGTCCAATTGCAGTGCATTGCCAAGATCAACCACAGCTTGCCAGCCCTCACTGATGCCATCTGGAAAGCCCTGAAAACCATCAGTTAATTGGGGGCACAATTTGCTCTACACTACTTTCATGATTGACTGCTTCCCAAGAATCAGCAATATTTTTGATGGCATCACAGATGTTATAATGCTTCCAGAACTCCCTTAAGCTCATCACATTATCTTCAGTAGCCTTGACTACTTGCAAGAAGCTACACTGTAAATAATAAGCCTTAGAGGTGGAGGAGATTCCCTGGTCTGTTGGTTGAAGTTGTGATGTGATGTGATGTGATGTAGGGGAGTAAGAAAACAACCTTTACACTGAGGTGAAGGTCATCTAAGCAGCTTGAATGCTCAGGTGCATTGTCAAGCACAAGTAGGATCTTGAATGGAAGTTTCTCATCCAGCTGGATAAAGATGACAATTGTCACCCAAGCCCTTAAATATGACTTCAAACTTGTGGGAAGCAATGCCTTAACAATACGGTGAAGTGCCATCTGATTTAGGGAGCAAAACACAAGCAAAGGCTTGAGCATAAAATTCCCAGATGCATTATTCTCAAGCAATAATGTTAGCCTATCCTTTCCTCCCTTATGCCTATCCTTTCCTCCCTTTTTCCCTCTTTTGAGATGCAGGTCTTTAAAGGCATTTTTTTCCAAAATAGGCCAGTCTTGTCTATGTTAAATACTTATTCTGGCAAAAAACCTCTCCTTAATAATTTTAACATTTCAGGAAATTCATTCACTGTACTTGTATCCGCACTTGCAGCTTCACCTTGTACTTTAATGTTACATTAATCTGCCCTTGCTTTGAAACAATTAAATCAACCTCTACTCATGGCAAATTCTGTATTGCAATCACCTGTACTTGCTCCACATACAGCTTTTAAATAATTGAAAAGTCTGAGCCTTTTCTTCCACTAATGTTAGGCAAATAGAAACGTCACACTGATTCTGATCCTCTAACCCAGTGGTGGCGAACCTATGGCATGTGTGCCACAGCAGGCACGCAGAGCCCTCTCTGTCAGCACGTGAGCCAAGTCGCCCCAGTATCACCCCAGCAGCAGAGCATTGGATAACTGCGCACATAAAAGCCATGCGCATGATCCGAAAGGAGTAGTGGTGCCAGGTGATGTCACAAGCCGCAACTCATTAGCCACGACTCGGCCAAGCTTTCGCATAGCCAGTCAGTGCGCTGCCAAGAATATTTATTCATTTGCTTGGACTGGCTGTGAGATGTTTTTTCTAAACCAAAACCTCAGTTTTCAGGTTTTATTGCAGTGTTGGCAATTTGCGATGAATAAATGGGTTTTGGGTTGCAGTTTGGGCACTCAGTCTCTAAAAGGTTCACCATCACTGGGCTAGGGTTAGAAAAACAAGGTGTCCTGGTATGATTTTGATGGTAGGAATGTGTTTACAATGGACAGAAATGATAAGCTGTGCAGAAAAAGCTACTCAAGGAAGGCTTTTTCAAAATCACCCCTTTCAATGTTATCTAACCCCCATATTAGGGTTATGAGAGTGCACCAGGGTAGGGTTGGTGCAGTTGTGGTGTACTTATGGCATGCGTGCCACATGGGGTATGCAGACCCCTCACTGTCAGCATGCAAGCCAAGTCGCGCCAGCATATGTATAACCAGTAAGTGTGCTATATGTATTTTAACAGGCAGTTAATACTCAAGTGAATTTAATGTAACCCAACTGCAAGTAAGTGCAAGTGTAACTGTAAGTGAAAGTGTAGAACTGGATAATTCTATACACTATTAATGAAAACATTTCTGTTGATTACTGGTACAATCTACTTCTATTACAACAGATGGGAATATAACAACTGTTTGACTGGGCACTGTATAGATGTGCACTGTTCACAGAACCTTAGGCTCAGGGTCAGGGTCAAATGCAGCCCTCTGGGGGGCCCAAATGGCATCGCCTTTTTCCTGGACCACCAGCTATGTGGTAGTTTCCCAGCCTTTGTGCAGTTTTTTCCCCTATTTTAAAAGGTTGAAATGCCTCTGTCCAGGCTTAGTTACTGGTAAGGAGTGGAGCTAAAATATGGGGTTATTTCTGGTATTTTGTCCCATTCTTGTTACCTTTGACCCCATCCACTATTAGAATGGGGTCCCCAAGAGCTTCTCCAAAATAGAATTTGGAACTCAGACTGAAAGAGGTTCAGAGAAAAGGTAGAATCTCAGTTTCTGTGTTTTTAGCAAGCAGTTATATCTGAAAATTGTAGAAGATATTCTAATGTCATACATTTCAAAAATTATCTAATTAATTATCTAATTTGAATACAGTTTTATTGTGACATTAATGGTCCTGTTGTTTATCTATTATGTATTGAATTCTACCGTTAGCCACCCTGAAATACAAATGTAACAAATAAAATAAATGGTGAAGTAAATGAGATTACAACTTCTATATATTTTTGCTGAATTTTGTAAAGATTAAAGTGGGTTGTAATTCAAATGCATTACAAATGTCATACTAACTTCACAGTTTGGAAGATCCTTGATTGTGTTTCCACAAGACAGGTTCAAACCTTTTGGCTCCAAGGGCAACACCAGTTTTGTGAGTGTTCTGGGGACTAGAAGCATACAAGGAGCACTGGGTTTGGGGGGGAAAGGCACACAGACATATATTGGGGTGAGAGGAAAAACACACATCCATGCTGTGTGGATATTTGAGGAAGTGAAAAGGCTGCAAGCTGCTCCATTAGCCAGTAAACCTAATCACGATTTGGCTATCATGGCTGGCTAAGGACCACCAGCACAATCCATACTATCTCTAATGCCACCACTAGTGAGGAAACTCATAGCTTATTTCCAATTTCTGGTTAATGATCATAGATAATGGGTAGAAAGTGCCAGAGTAGCAGGAGGTGATTCTAGTAAGCCTCCAAAATAACTTTTTTGCATCTGTTTTTGACCACCAAATTCAGCAAAAATATATAGAAGTGGTAATCTGATCTATTTCAAATATTCAGAGGAACACATAAGACACAACCACAGTTTCAGAATGTAATATCAATTTACCTTTCTTACCTGTAACTGTTTCAATCTTTGAAATATTTCCATTTTGTAAACTGGAATTGTGCTGCATCTCTTTATATTTAGCACTGCACAGAGCCTGTTTTCGTGTCCATGTACGGTTTAAAGACCGTCTAGAGAAAAGGTAGACCACACATTTACTTTGAGTATAACTGCTGTTTGAAACCATAAGTATCTTAACTGGTAAGGCATTTTTGCTGAGAATGTTTTACAAGATGTTCTAGTATTAAAAGCAAGACCATAAACAGTCCCTCTAAAAAACTATGTGTCTAACAAAACAGCTCTAAAGTTCCTTTGTGACCAAATCATCAAGAGATGTAGAACTGGAATGCTGCTGCTTCTGTCCCTGATACTGGTTCAACTTAGTGTCATGTAGTGCGAGACAGACAAAGAAAATCCAACCCTATATATTAAATACAAGCTGAAATTATTTCAGTGCTAATCAATGTAGTCTATGGATTTCAACTTATTATTGCCAAGTATAATACTATGATTTATGTTTCAAGTCCCTAGTAGGTCAGTGTATACACATATTTAATATGAGTAAAAAGGAATATGATAGAAAGGGTACCTAAATGGGAGTCTCTTCTGATTCTCTGCATTCCTTTCATCTTCATCACTGTGATCGGAAAAGCAGTTATGAAGAACTTCATCTTGTTCTTCTATGTGATCCATCATTATTTGGCTACGGGTTTGAAATCCAGCAATTATTCTGTTTAGGGAGTATGCAGGAGGGCTTGTGTGTACCTTTAAAAAAATAACCAGAAAACATTGTCTGCGGAAGCTTTACAATATTTTATATCCCATCTTTCTTTGGAAGAACTCAAAGCAGGTTCCTCTCTACTCCCAATTTTACCTCCATAAAGAATATGTCCGGTATGTTAGGTTAAACAAATGCCACTGGCTGGGTCATCCAGTAACTTTCATGACTGAGTGGCAATTCAAACCTTCTCAGACTTGGTCTGACATCCTAGGCACTATATGATACTGTACTGCATCAAGTCTTTAAAAAGGAAAACCCTCCTTATAGGATCTTTGAGATGCAATGTTAAATTTGCATCCTTGCAGTGAACTGGTGTTTGGTGGGTGGACTAAAGACATCAGAGGCTGCTGTTTCTAGCACGATGCTATTAGCCACTCTCAGCTGTTGCAGCCACATACAACTTTTTGTTCTATTTGTGAACCTCTTCAATTGCTTTTACAATGCTTAGTAAGAGGAATATAGCTTTTTAATGCATACATGAAAATGGTTAGCAATGAGTTATGAAGATGTGGAAGGTCGAAAAATATGGGCTACATTAGAAATAAGCTGCTATAATTCTTTACTGCACAGTCATTTCCTGGATATGACCACAAATATACTTTGATGTAGCCAAAGGGGAAGGGAAAAGGCCAAGCAAAGAGAAAGGAGGCAGTAAGTTGGTAGACAGCTGGAGCACATTAGGAAGGAGAGTATTCTGGAAATGATAACTTCTATCCCTGGAAAGGAAAGGCACGAGTGGAGCACAGGCACTACTGTTGAAGTATCATACCAACTGCTCAACCTGGAAAAAAATAGGAGCAGAGCAATTGTAGCCATTCATTTCCTGGCTTCCAGGACTTTAGAGTCTCCTTTTTTCCCATACAAAGCCATAGAACATTATTTGCTTCACTGAAGTACATGGAAAAGTCTCATAATCCTGAGATCCTAAGGAAGTGTTCTTCATGCATGTTCTGTGGCTGCAACTATGATTACATATAAAGAATTGATTGCAAGGTACTTTTCTATGATTCAGTAAAGGATTCCTCATTCAGTTAATAAAGGCAGGTTGCTCACCTGTAACTGTCATTCTTCAAGTGGCCATCTGTGCAGTCACACATATGGGTGCTGCGCCTGCACAGTGCCTATGGCCGGAAAGATTCAAAAGCTTAATGGTTTTGGCGGGAACTCCGCATCCCTCCCCCCCATGGTATAAAAGGGCGGAGTGCCTGCCATTTCCTCAGTCCACTGGAGACTGACTGTTCGCCCCCTCACGGAAGCAAGTGATATAACAGGGAACTGTCGGACCCCTCCTTGTTGTCGGTACCGGCCAGGTGAACTGCAAGGAGGGTGATTTCCCTGGGGATGCACCAATCCCACAGTTGCATCGCCAGGCAGGCCAGGGGGGCAGACTTCGTCCTGCCTTGCTTGCTTATACAGAATACAGTGAGAACGTTCTCGGAGGCAATTTGGACAACATGTCGCCAAAGAGTGTCCTCGAACGATCAAGGGACTTTGAAAACCGCTAGGAGTTTGAGGTAATTGATATGTCTGGTGGATTCCTGATGGTCCCAGGTGCCCTGTGTATGGAGACCGGCACACAGAGCTCCCCACCTGGTAAGGGAGGCATCGGTAAAGAGAGTCAAGGTCGGGTGAGGTGGGCGAAATGGGACGCCCAGAGACAGATTATGCTGCGTGGTCCACCATGACAGGGTCTTGAGGACCGAGGATGGAAGGCAGAGAAGATGGTGAGGCGAGTCTCGTTGAGGTTGGAACAGTCCGTTGAACCACAACTGTAGTGGCCTCATCTGTAGTCTGGCGTGGGGAACCGTGGATACTGTAGAGGCCATGTGGCCAAGAAGTTTCTGCACCGAGAGTGCCAGGACAGTCCTGTCTATGTGGATTCAACGGATTGATGAGCAGAGAGTGTCCTGTCGAATTTGTGGGAGGAATGCTCTCATCAGTGTGGAATCGAGACAGACTCCAATGAAGTCGATGACCTGTGAAGGAGTAAGGCACGATTTCTCATGATTAATGTATAGTCCCAAATTGTCCAAGAGGGCACAAATAATTTGAATTGATGACCGAAGGCCTTCCTTAGATTGGGAGACAATTAGCCAGTCATCCAGGTAGGGGTAAACTTGAATGCCTTGGAGTCGAAGATGCATGCACACCGGGGCCATACATTTTGTAAAAACCTGTGGGGCAGTAGCCAGTCCAAATGGAAGGACGTTAAACTCGAACAGGTCAGAACCGACAGTAAAACGCAGAAGACGCCTGTAGGACGGGTGAATGGCAATGTAAAAACAGGCAACTTTCAAGTCCAGAGAAGCGAACCAATCCTCTCTCCTAAGCAAAGGAAGGATATTTTGAAGGGTGGTCATCCAAAACTTTTTGGTTTTGATAAACCTATTGATGCCACGTAGGTCCAGTATTGGACGAAGACCACCATCCCACTTAGGGACCGTGAAATATCTTGAGTAGAACCCATGCAGCCCCTTAGAGCGTGTAAGCTTTCGAATCGCTCCTTTACGAAGAAGCTGTTGAACTTCGTGGACGAGGACCAACGAGCAAGGCGTAAATCAGATTGGTACCGGTGGGGGCACAGTATCAAACTCAATTCTGTATCCATGCTGTATGATGGATAAAACCCACTGATCAGATGTGATGGACTCCCAAATGGGGAGTCGACTTTGCAGCCGATCCCCAAAAGGAAGAGGGGAAGGTGGGTTAAAGAGGAGAGGAGAGATTCGCTTGTCCCGTCAACACTGACACTTGTCAGAGTAGGGACGACGACGGTTCTGCGGGAAGCGTTGTTGTTGCTTCCAACGCTGTTGGTGTGGCTGGAACTGCTGACGGCCCCCGAATTGTGGATAGGGTTGGTATCTGTAGGACAGACGAGACCAACACCACTTACAGCGCGACTGGTTAGGGACTTCCATCCGGTGAGCTGTGACCCTCGACTCATGGATAGTTTTCATCTTGTGGTCTGTCCTGGCGTTGAAGAGCCCCGAACCGTCAAAGGGCATGTCCTCAATTCGACGCTTCTTCTCATCTGGGAAATTGCAATTCCGAAGCCAAGCATGACGACAGAGGGCTATGGTGCCAACAAGGGCCCTTGAGTCAGAATCGACATGGTGTCTCCGTGGAGAGCTGCTGGACTGCCACCTGCATTGCCTCTTTGATGAAAATTTGGACTAAGTCTCTTTGCTGGTCTGGTATTGAGGCCATAATACTTTCCAACTTTTGCATGAGAAAATATTGGTACCGCGCCAGCGTGGCCTCATAATTGGAAATATGGAGGCCAAGCCCTGTAGCTGCATAGATCCAGCGAGCTAGCATGTCGATCTTACGACCCTCTTTGTCACGGGGAGTAGTGTGTCCCCTCGACTCACGTCCTTGGGAGGACTCAAAGACAATTGAGTTTGGTCTGGGATGATGCAGGAGGAATGGTATATCCTGCTCACGGACTCTATACATAGACTCGTATCAGCGTGAAGTAGGCTGAGGCTGGTTAGGGTAGCTCCACGGTTCCATCATTGCCTGGCAAAGGGTAGTGATCAGCAGCAAAATGATGACGGCAGACTGTTCACCCTTGACAATGTTATAAAACTTGTCTGTGTTAGGATCGAAATGGTGCTGAGCCTCGATCTCGAGTGACCTTGTAAGTCTTGCCATAAGCTCCCCAAAATTCACATAGGGCTCCTCCAGTGAGCTGGGGCCCTATGTGGAGATCACAGCATCTGGTGATGTAGATGCCACTTCAGAGTCCTCCGAATCCGAGTCGTAGTGCAGTGGGAGACTAGAAGAGGAATCGATTGGCAAAGTGGGACGCCTAGATTGAGTCACTCTCGAAGTCGAAGGAGCGACCCTCGGAGCCGGAGAGAAGGTACGCTCATGCACTGACTGGTATTAGCCGTAAGGTGGATAATCATCCCATGGCTCGTGATGAGACGGCCTATGGGGTGGGTGCACCCATTTTTCTGGGGGCCGGACAGAGGCATGCTGTTGGTAACACACCTGCAGAGGAACAGGCCTCAGAGAAGGCTTGAGCGACGGCTGGGGAGTTGGTGAGCGAGCCATTGGCGGAGAGTCTTGAATTTGAGATTGATCCCAACAAGGAAACATCCCGGTGTTTTGGAGAAGACTGGATGGAGGGTGCGACCTGTCTTGGAGACCCAGGCGGGGTCACTTGCATGGCCAATTGGAGGGCCGGTTCAGTTGGGGTCGGTACCGAGGCAGCCATAGGGATCGATGGAGCAGACAAACCCGAGTCACAGTGCCTGGAATGGTCAGGCTTCTTAAGTTTGCAAGCTGACTTATCCGCCTTGTCCTTCTTAGGCTTTTTATGGCCTGAGGACTTGTCCGAGCCACTATGCTTCCTCTTCTCCTTTTGCTTAAGCGGAGATGTAGAGAAGCGTTGACCCTCTGGCAAAGGGGCACCATCAGCCGATGGGCATGGCAGAAGAGTGGTGGTAGACGGAGGAGCAGACTTGCCCGCTAGCTGATCGGACTGAAGCAGGGCTTGATCCCACAGAAGTTTACGCAGGCGGTTCTCTCAGTTTTTTCTCGCCTGCTTAGTAAAGGCCTGACAATGGCCATATTTCTCTGTCCTGTGCCCTTCTCCAAGACTGAGAAGACACAGATTGTGTGGATCAGTAGGTGACATTTTAGAACCGCACTGTGAACACTTGAGGAAAGCCGCACGCTGCACCATCGAGGAAAAAGAGAAGATAGTAAAGCAAAGACAAGAGGAACAGTATTTTTTGATTTTTAAACAGGGAAAAAGGGGAGAAATTGAGAAGAAAACTTCTACCAGGGAGTAAAAAAACTTGGAATAATAATGACTAAGAGAGAAATAACAGCAACTGGTAAACGTGTGCAAACTGAAAGATGAAAGCCTCGAGGCACAGTGAACGGCGGTCGCAAGACTTAGTTAAAAATTTAGTTAAATATTTAATTTTGTCCATATATTAAATAGACTGCCTGAGAAACTTAACATTTAGATTTACTTAAATCAACATTTTCTATCTATTTATAATCTAGAAAAGAAAAATAAGCTTTCAGGGCCCGAACTATTTCTCAATTTAAAATAAGCATTTCCAAAAAAGGAAAACAGCCCTGCTATACTGGCAAAAGATACTACTGCTATTAAAAACTGGATTATCACACCAAAAGTCTCTTAATGCAAGTACTTAAGTGATTTCCACCAAATTTAACTTTCTTTAAAATGTTATTATCAGACATACATTTTTTGAACAGTTCAAATTTCAAAGCTAAGGAGAAACCATTGAAGAAATGCATGTTTAATTGTAAATTAGTACACATTATGGAAAGATGATTTATGGAAGTTCATGTCACAGCAAATTCTTCTTCAACAGTTAAGGATTGGGGCTGGTAGTAAGTATTGAGAATATCTGCAGGAAAATGAACTGGAGATGGTGCCTCTTACATTCATTTTTAAAACTCCAATTTAAATCTCTCTCATTGTGTGCTTCTTTTTTTGAAATCTCATTCAATACCTTCCAAATTTCAACAACATCCACAATAAAACTGTTAATTCCCTGCACTTTGTCCAAAGCTATGGAAATAGACTACAGGACAGTTAGCCTCTTCTACACAAAGTTGCAAAAAAATAAATGGTTGCTACACTAACCAAATCAGCATCACTCCAGGAAATTATTGAAAGCAATCCAGGAACTTTTAATACAAATTCTAAGAATTCCCAACATTATATCATGTTGTGGTATCAGTGGGGGTGGAGGAGAACCTTCAGGACTGGAATTACTTTAGTCAGAGATGAAAAGTGAGGCTGATGAGATTTGTTGTTTCTCTTATCCTAACACGGCTGTTAACAAGTCTAGAGACAGAGACCCAGTTTAAAAAATGCAAAATTTCCTGACAGTATCTTCCTGGTGGATTGAATTCTTGGGGAGACTGAAAGATTAATCTAAATCAGTGGGCCCCAACCTTTTTTACCTGCATACCTCTTCCCCTTATGTAATGTGCAGTCCATTCCATAAATTCAAAAATCAAAAGACTTTTCTACCATTATTCTTTTTTCCCCCCGACATACCCCTAAATGTCCCGATTTGTACTCCTGGGGGTATGTGTACCCCAACCTGGAAATCATTGATCTAAATCATCTATACCAGTGATGGCAAACCTTTTAGATACCGAGTGCCCAAACTGCAACCCAAAACCCACTTATTTATTGCAAACTGCCAACACTACAAAAAAAACCCTGAAAACTGTGGTTTTAGTTTAGAAAAAACAACTCACAGCCAGTCCAAGCAAATACATATATATCCTTGGAAGCACACTGACCAGCCATGCAAAAGCTCGAACAAGTCACGGCTAACGAGTCATGGCTCATGACATCATCGCCTGGCGCCACAACTCCTATCTGAGCATGCACATGGCCCCTATGTGTGCTGTTATCCGATGCTCGGCTGGGGCGATGCTGGGGTGACTTAGCTCGCGTGCTGACCGAGAGGGCTGTGCATATCTGCTGTGGCACGCGTGCCATAGGTTCGCCACCACTGCCCTGACCCTACCCTGGTGCACTCCCCTAACCCTAATATAGGGATAAAGTTCCATTGAAAAGAGGGCAATTTTGAAAAAGCCTTCCTTGAGGAGCATTTTCTGCACAGTTCATCATTTCTGCCCATTCTAAATATCTTCCAACCCTCAAAATCATGCCAGGACACCTCATTTTTCTAACCCTAACCCAGTGATGTTGAACCTTTTAGAGACCGTGTGCTCAAACTTCAACCCAAAACCCACTTATTTATCACAAAGTGTCAACACTGCAATAAAACCTGAAAAATGAGGTTTTAGTTTAGAAAAAACAACTTACAGCCAGTCCGAGCAAATCTCTCTCTCTCTCTCTCTCTCTCTCTCTCTCTCTCTCTCTCTCTCCTTGGCAGCGCACTAATCAGACATGCGAAAGCTCAAACGCGTTGATCTATACAGCAGCCTATGGAATCCCATAAAACTGAGGATCCAATCCAAGACCCTCTTTATAAAACTTTTTTTAAAAGCTTAGATAAATACAGCAGGAACCCCTTATCTGCTAGTTCAGTTACTGTGTTTTCATTTAACTTCAGTTGACCTAGTCTTGAAAGAGAAGCTGAAAATTCTCAATTTAATAGAGAAGGAAAAAAATCGAGTGCAGAGGTTGCTGGAATGTATGATAAGAATGAATCGTCAATCCATGAAATTGTGAACAAAGAAATGTGTATGTACAGTATATAGCATCTGCTATCATCTGCTATTTCAGGCATCTGTTGAGGGACTTGAAACCTATCCATGCAGATGCAGGAGTTCTGCTGTACATTATTTCATAACACAGAATCAGAATTTATAATCTCTATTCCATAATGAGACCTTTGGATTACAATGCATTTTAAATCAAAACCACGGTTGTGTAGGGACTTTTTAAAAAAAAGACAAAAGCATTTTAAAAATAAAAATAGAAAAAATACAATTTAAATAAAAATGGGGTCTTGCTCTTTAAAATTTAATTTGATCCACCCTCCTTGTAAAAGTAAATGAATGCTTACATTAATAATAGTGATAATAGTACAGTTATCTTCTCATAGCAATGTTCCCTCTCAAACTGCCCCATGTACTAAGTGATTGCAGCACACAGTCGGATAGCCCATTCATCATAAGCAAAGTGGAATATCTTAATCTTAGAAATGGCAAATGGGTGATTATCTCTGGGGATTGGAACTGATGTGTACCACCTCCACATACCTCCATTTTATCCTTACAACAATAACCCTGTGAGGTAGATTTGGATTAGGGTGACTGACTGGTCCAAAGTTTTACCCAGTGAGGCACATGGCCAAGTGGGGATTAGAACCCAGATCTCCCAAGTCCCCAGTTTTACACTCTAACCACTATACTACACTGGCTCTCAAAATGGCTGAAGCAGCTAAAAGTTATATGGATGTGGCAATAACCTGTCACTTTGCTATGGGATTTTTCTTTAAATTTGCATACATACCTTTCGAGATGGCATCTCCCCTGGCACGTTAAAAGATTGTGCCAAATGTTTAGTTAGTGGAACACTGTAAGGTCTTTTAGCAGATATTAAAGCAGCTGGTCCATCTCCATAAGCACCACTGGAGCCAGAAGGTTTTTCCATTTTCTCTAACTTGTCATTTAGCTGGTCAATTATAAGTTGTTGCTCCACCAGTTTCTCATTCTTGAAATTAAAAAATATATATAATTGGGGTATGTGGAAGCATAACTGAATAATACCTGCCTCCAGGGACCATTCCAGGAGACTTAACTGAAAGTTTTTTGTTACTGAAATGTTATTTGTTTTTCAAGTGTCTGATACTACTGGCATTCAAGGTCTTTTCCCCCCTTTCCATACTATTCCACACCTTTAAGATCAGTGTAATAAATTTTTATAGTTACAAACAATAAAATTGGTGAAGACCTCTGCCACACAGTTTTGTGCTGTGTGAAAAAAGAAAAGTTGCTTCAAGTATTTATTTATTACATTTCTCTGCTGCCTATCAGCTGAAGCTCTCTAGGCGGTTCCCAAAATAAACTTAAAACCACAAAATACAATATGATAGTAAAGCAAGATTTTAAAAATAATGTTTGAAACACAGCAGAACCCTAGTAAAAAACAAGGTAAAGGCCAGCAATAGTGCAAAATTCTAAAAACACACTAGCATGCAATCCTATGGAGAATTTACCGGAAACCAATGCAGATCATAAAACACTGAAATAATATGATCATACTGGACAGTCCCTTTAACAATATTCCTGCCCTATTTTTGATAAAAAAGTTTCAGGAACTTTTTCAAAGATGGCCCCATGTATAGCCCACTGCAGTAATTCAAACTAGAGGTTATCATAGCACAGATAACTGTAGTATGCTAATTTCTGTTCAGAGAGAAAATTTGTCCATCAAGGTGTAAACTGGACCTTCAATGACAGTGCTGAGTCCAAGAGCTCTTTAAATCTATGAACTTGATATTTTAAAGGGAGAGCAACTCTCTCCACAAAAGGATCATCTGGGTAGACAAACCACACACTAACAATACCTCTTTCTTATCTGGATTGCATCTCAGCATATGGTCCTCGTTCAATCCATTACTGCACCCAGGCCCTGATTCTGAACAGCCACTGCCTCACCAGGATTTGATGAATACGAGAGCTAAAGCTAGGAGTCATCTACATATTGATGACACCTCAGTTTGTATCCCCCTGTGCTTTCATGAAATGTTAAGATGGAATGAGGGATAAAATAGAGCCCTTTAGCACCCTGTGGCATAACTGCTAAAGGATAGAGCAATACTGCCTCAGCATCCTGGCTGCAAAACCACTTCAGTATGGTCCCTCCAATACCCAATCCAGATGGCTATTCAGAAGGATATCATGATTGATGGTACTGAAAGCCCAAGGCCCAAGAAAGGCCCAAGAAATCAATAGCACTGCACTCCCCTTTCCCTCCCTTGACTGTCCCCATTCTAAAATGAGATGTGAAGAACAACTGAAATGGTCAATTACATTCTTGAATGTGGGCCAGAAAACACCTGAACAAGCAGCTTGTCCAGGAAGGAAATTTTAGCAACTGGTCTATAGTTACTAACAATGGATATCTTAAGTTCCATTGATTTCAAGAGGTTTGTTCTAAGTACAACTAAATTTGGATCCAACCCAGTGTAATCCTGGCCATGTAAATAAAGCCCAAATTGCAAGCTACACGTACACTCACAGAAGTATATCCCATTGTAACAGTGGGATTTGGTTTTCAAGCAATCATGCACGGGGTTGCAGTGTTAGTCATTTAGATTTTCCTATATTTAAGATATTATTTTTTCTAATGCCTTTAATGTTATTTTACACATATGTAGCAAGTTACCTGCACAAAATGTAAATTACCTGTAGCCTATTTGTGTCTTGTGTTTCCTTCAGTGATTCAAGATACTCTTGATTCTCCTTTATTAGCTTTTGTATTTGATCTTGCAATAGTTTTATCTCTAGCTCTTTCTCGTTAAACACTTCTGCATCTGTAGCAAGAGCCTGCTAGGTAAGAAAATAAATGATCAACAATATAAGGAGGATTTGCCAAACTGCATATTCTTTCAATTATAAGTTAATTACTTATTCCACCATATCAACAGAAAATGGAAGAAACTAAAGCTGCAATATATAAGGTCTATCAAGACAAACAGATTGTCAAATGATTGATAAAGCTATTGTAGTTAATTAAAATTCAGAACAGCAGCTACTCAGAAGAAGAATTTCTGTCTTTGCTATTGCATAAACTTTGATTATATGGGAAGAATTATGTAACAAAGTACAGTAAGGTTTTAAGATCCTTCAAAGTAATCAAAACTTCCTAAAAAAAGTTACACATGCTTTAACTATAATTTGCAATGGAAGGACTACAATAAGAATAGAAAGCCAGACCTGGAATAGAAAATGAGTTCCTCTTTTATAGGTTATTTGTCTAGCACTATTATGAGGTGCAGACTGACAAGCTGTGTGTGACCTAGCAGAAAGAGCTGTTCAAAAGCTACCAGCATGAGAGTTCTTCTTTTACCTTCTCTTATATAACACTCCTGCTGAAAATTATTAATTTCTGACTCAGCAACAGGACTGAGAAGTCCAGTCTGTTCTCTTCTGTTACTACACAGAACTGATCCCTTGCCATGCCGCAATAGGTAGATTTTAAATGAACGGTAGAATGACAAAGCTCAAAAAATACTTTGTAGAGTTAAGCAACTGATGTAGTAAGGTAGTATCAAGTCTACATTTCTTTTGATCGCACTTGAGATTTCGTACAATCAATCAGGAGACAAATCTGTTTTGCTAACAAAAACAGATTTGCATTTGCAAAACCAGATTTTTGGCGTAGTAATAGTTCAAAGCATGTGTTGAATAATGGTAAAGACAGCTTCAGTTCACATATGTCACAAGGCAGAATTTTGTACAAAAGAGAAGGGGAAATCCAAAGTTGTTTAAGTAGGAAGGAAAGCGATTGTAAACTATATCTTTCCCTTTCCCTCTTTCTAGCTGTGACCCTCTGCAGTCCCTGGGGAGGAGGTTATTACGCAGATAAATTTTGCACCAGAACAGTCCTTAATATTCACTGATGTACACACTCATTTAAATTATTTACAAGTAGAAGAGGAAATCAATTATCGGTGCCCTTGTGGGAGCTAAACAACTGTTATCACAACACTGGATGGATAAACATTTACCTCCTAAAATGCAATGCGTTAGAGGACCTTACCATTCTTTTGATAGTATGAGTGAGTGGCATAAAGATACTATATTCAGATGAAATATTTGGTCCACTTTTGCTGAATCCTATATATAACTGATAGAAAGTTATATGCATTTCTTTCAAATCTATGTACGTATATTACAAAAAAGTAAAAAAGTAAAAAATGCATATTCATGGATACCATGTTGGGGACCCCTTCACAGGCAACAACGGAGTTATTGGGGACTGTTGGCTCACAGGACTGCAGTGAGAAGAGCAAGCTCCAAAATGATGACTGCAAGATTCCTTCACCCAATGTTCAGTTTTCTTCACCCTACTCATACCAGTCCAAGACACAGCCCTCAATGTTTTGTAGGATGCCCTGACCCCTGGAAGTGTTTTTTTCCAGGAGGCATAGCAGTGAAAAGAATAAGACTCCACAATATGTTTTCTGTTCATGCACTGTTGGATTTCATCCATAATTATTTTACACTTATGCCATATTCTCCCAGTAATTTAATTGGTAAGGTATTATTAGCTGTATTTAAACTATAGCAATCATATAACTCAGCTGAAAACTGCATAAAACTACTGCAGATTTTTTACCTGTTCAAAGTACACAATTTATTTGCGCTTAACATATCTGAATGAAGAAAATCTTACTTTTGGGCATCTAGAAAATTTAGTCTGACAAACAAGCAATGTGCATGTAATTTATTAAGTATCCCTAGCAGAGGAACTGAAGGTTAAGAAATTTTCAAATTATAATGTTGGCTTTCTTTTAATATATTCTTACCACTTTCATTTACTGTAAATACCTGATATTTCTTCAGCTCTCTCTTCAACTGAAGAATTGTAATATGATATGGTCCTTCTTGGTTACCTCCACTTCCACTGTTTACCTGAGGAATTGTTGAAGCCTCTTTCCTGAGTTCCTGAGCCACACAAATCCAGTCTTGCAATCTTTCAAGTTGACTTTTTGATAGGCTGGCACTATTTTTTAAGTCAACAAAGAACGAATAAGCTTCTTCTATACAATTTCGGTAGTTGAAGCTTTCTACTTGAAGTTGAGCAAGCTGCTCTTCAAGAGAATGGATTCTGTTTCTGTCCTGAGATACATCCTGTGACCCTTGGCTGCCAGTGATTTGTCCACTAACCTGCTGGTTTTGCAAAGCTTCACGAAGCAACTTGATTTCAAGTTCCATTTCATCCATACGATCCCAGTCTGGGTTGTAGTTAACAATAGGCTTGTTTCTAATATTTTTGGCTCTGTTGGCATATTTGATAGAATTTAATGATTCATCAAAATCAGAAGAAGATGGGCTGATACAAGTTATCATGACAGTCTTGGCATTGCCTCCTAAAGAGTCCTTAAGAATCCGTGTAATTTTTGCATCCCTGTATGGAATATGTGCACTTTTTCTCCTTGGGTCTCCAAGAGCACTTATCACATTTCCCAGAGCCAATAAGCCACTGTTGATCTGAATTGATTCTTTGAATCTTTCACCAGTGTTCCCAGTTTTTGTTACTCTTTCTGATCCGGCAAGGTCCACAAAATGGAATTTAGAAGCTATCAGCTGACCCGAACTTTGAGAAGGATCTTGGGCAGAGTCTGTAACCTTCTGAGTCTGTGCTGATTGCTGCTGCTGACAAATACTAATTGTAAAAACAGCATGAGATCGGCTAGAATGCTCATTCATTTGGGTTGTGCCTGTATGTCGAGCAGCATTTCCAGTTTCCAACAGACTCATGACTTCTTCCACACTTTCAACTTGACAATCTTTGGCACCAACAATGACTTCAATAAACAAGCCAAGAAGAATGATAAAGGAAATTGTAAGCAAAATTTAGAATTTTATTTAAATATTTATATTGGCACTTGTTACTCTTCAAACATTCATCAAATAACATATGACATTACAAAATACACAGCTGTTACTATAAACAATATCACTGCAAATGCCTCAAGAGGGTGGTATTTGTATAGAGAGACATTTCTAAGTGGTTGTAGCAAATCCTGACCACCCACCAGTGGAATAGAAACCATAGGTACAACAATTTCCCTCTCACTGCAGCAGCCCTCACATCCTAAAACCTTTTGTATTTATGATCATCCACTATCTCTCTGTAAAATATGAATGAAAGTTTTTTAACTGGAGAAAATTTTCTCTAGCTGAAACTACAGGATTATTATAGAACTATAATAGCTTTTATTATATCTATAATAACCATTACTTCAGAACTATGAATGTACTTTTATGCTATGGATATTAAATACTAAGTGTTCACACTAATTTTAAAGACCTAATTATGAACATCTGCCAAGTCCAGAATAAAGTAAAAATTCACTGTCAAAAAGGACTAAGGAGAAATTCTGCTGATGCGTAGCATGAAACCCAAAAACTATTATTTATTTATTTATTTGTATGTATGTATGTATTTATTTATTCATTCATTTAAAACATTTCTATGCCACCCCCATCGCAACAAAGCCTCGGGGCGGCTCACAAAGAATACATAAAAACATACATAAATAATAATATAACAATTAAAAAAATTTAAAAAAACCCAGTGCATTCTCGGCTAAAAATTTTAAAATCCTAATTAATTCAATAATTTAACAATTAAAATAAGTTTTAAATAAAAAGGTCTTAGCCTGGTGCCGAAAAACAAATAACGACGGTGCCAGGCGGACCTCTCTGGGGAGCGCATTCCATAGATGGGGTGCCACCGCAGAGAAAGCCCTCCTCCGGGTACTCACCCTCCTAATATCATTCACAGAGGGTTCCTGGAGAAGGGCATCTGTTGCTGATCTCAAGGGGCGGGAGGCGCAAGCATTCCTTTAGATATCCAGGTCCCAAGCCATTTAGGGCTTTATAGGTCATAACCAACACCTTGAATTGGGCCCGGACTTCAATCGGGAGCCAGTGGAGCAGACGGAGAACTGGGGTTATATGAGAACAACGCCCAGTCCCAGTCAGCAGCCTGGCAGCTCTATTCTGCACCAACTGAAGTATCTGGACCGTCTTCAAGGGTAGCCCCACGTAGAGCGTGTTGCAGAAATCTAATCGGGAAGTTACCAGTGTGTGTGTCACTGTCGCCAGGCAGTCGTTCTCCAGAAAGGGATGCAGCTGATGTATCAGCCGAAATTGAAGGAAGGCGCTCCTCGCCACTAGGAAGGCGCTCCTCGCCATGTATGTATGTATATGTTTCTATTCTTATTTATTTATTGATTACATGCATTTATACCCCGTCCTTTTGCTTCAAGAACTCAGGATGGCTTACAAAATATATAAAAATACAATAAATATAAAACTACTATAAAACAATATTAAACATCAGTATAACATCATTATAAAATGCAACTGTGAAAAAGAATAAATAAAATCCTAAAACATCTAAAACATTAATTGATTAAAATATCGGTCAAATAAAAAGGTCTTTACCTGGTGCCAGAAAGAATATAGTGTTGGCACCAGGCAGACCTCTCTGGGGAGCAGATTCTATATTCTTAACAAAACTAGAAAACTTTTCCTATGCACATTTAATGATGGGCTCCTAAAAGAGAATTATCTTAGCAGTAAATGTTTGAAGGCATGAAGCATGAATATTTGCAATTGTGCTTTGCTGCCTTAAAAACAGATCTTATAAGATTGCTTGCTGACAGATAATAGCAAATGTGACACTGAATTTCAAATTCATATATCTACCTGTATTGCCCTTTTCATCTTCTCTAATATGTAAATCTTTCATAGATGTCTCCAGTTCCAGTAGATCTCTCAGTTCTTCTTTGTAGACTTCTATGTAAGAAACTTTCACAGTAAAGTCAATATTATGGTTTTCAAAAATAATCTGAAATATTTCTTGGATCGCCCGTGGAATAATACCTCTCTTCTCCTCTTCAACTGATGCTAAAATATAAACCAGAATATGATGCAAGCAAACAGGTAAATTTGCAAATTCACATGTCACGCATGAAATGCTGGAAGGCTCTTTAGCTCAATACATCATGAACCTGAGTCATTCAGATCTGCCAAGGTCACAAGACTCAGTCACACTACCGGAGATACATGTATCTGGTTACAACTTGGAGAAAAGAATTAACAGTGAAGCATCAAAGTCGGCATAGGGTCTTATTAAATGTGTTGGTGGAACGGAGCTCAAATAAGCCAACTTCTTAGCTTCCGCCCTTTCCATAGCAGAGGACTGGGGAGCCCCTGGAATGAGATGGGCTGTGATATGGGAAACTGAGGAAAGAGAAGTGCTTTATGGATACATCCCCTTTCACTGCAAATCCCATGCTGAGGAAGTGAGAAAGTTAAGTTCCACACACTTCCATCAGTATACTGACTAGATACGAGTAAGCCAGCATCCTGCTTTTTCTAAATAATTCTTCATGATAAAAATCATATTCTCTATGCCTAGCTTATCTTTCCCAATATTTTTATTATTTATCAAAAACTCCAGCTGACAGATGTAAGCATGGTGCACTGAAAATGTTGCACACCCATTGGGGACCCCTCCTCTCCTTTGGCCAGATGAACCTACTGTTACAAGTATTACCACTGATCAAGGGCACTTGTTTTGTTTTCTTTTTTACATGCAGTTCTATGTACCTCAACAGTAAAAGGCCAGATTATGCAATCATACCATCAAATTACTGTCTTGAGCCATCTAGTCCATGGAAGTCCTTACAGAATTGTTGTATAGATTACATTTAAATTTCCTTGAACACATAAAACTGATATACAGAAGAATTATTACTACAAATTTCCAAAGAACTATAGTTAAGTAATTTTGGGTTTACAACTGAAACTATCAAGAAAAATATATAATATTTAGAACAAAACAGAGTGTTACCTTAGTATATAACCCAATTTAAATTTTAAAGTGTTTAGCACTCTAGCATCTCACACACACCACTGAAAGTTTCTAAGTAACAGAGTAATTCAATAATGTTGGCCACATTTTTTAAAAAATATTGTTTTAAAAATGCTTTTTTAAAATAAAAATAGGCAAAATAATTTGTTTTCATACTGCAAGGCATGTCATTTTCAGCTAAGAAAATTCCTTTGTTAGAATCAAGGTTTTAAATAACAATACTTAATAACAAACAATGAATGTGGTCCAAGATAATAAATTCAGTCTGCAATTAATTCATTATAACATTGAAAGTGTGAAAAATTATGCCCCATCTTTATTTCAAGGTAAATGAAAATCAAGAACTGCAATTATTTTATTAATAGATATTCAGCTGATGAAGCGATTAGCTTCCTTTTTCCTTTAACAATACTCTGATATATTGTTGCTTTTTAAATTTTGTTAGGAAAACAACGTCTGAATCACGGGAAAATATAAGATTTATACAACATACCAATATGTCCTCCTCCAATAGTATAAGTCTTTCCAGAGCCTGTTTGTCCATAGGCAAAAACTGTTGCATTATATCCTTCTATTAAAGATGTAACCAGTGGCTTAATACATGTTGTATACACTTCATCTTGGCTTGAATGTTTACCAAAAACAAAATCAAATGTGAAAACACGATCCTTTCCAATGATAATTTGCTGAGTATTTGGGATTAATCTCACACACACTTGATGATTGTGAAGTACTTCTTTTGAAAGTAGAGGTCTTATTCTCACTGCTACTTTAACTGGAATTTCTTCCATTGTGGCTTATGCGGGATTCAGTTCCTGCTTAATATATACACCTTCACTTTAAGATTTCACTTCACTCCTTGCATTTCTGCCTTCTTAACATTCTTAATCTTCAGCACTTAAGAGGTAAGATATATTCTGTGAGAAGCAAAGAACATTACTGAACTAGAGTGAACTAGAATGAAGAATTGCCCTAAAAGTTAATGTAAATATGGTATATCAGTCATTTGCATATTTTATATGCAAGAACCTTTTGGGCAAGTCTGCCCAAGACCTTAAAATTGATCATAGGTGGCACTAATGAAACTCAGTGCACACTCATCCTGAATATCACATTCTTTAGTGTGTTAATCTAATTAACCACCATATTCCATATCTGCTTTCTTACTCATTAACTTGCATGAATGACCACTCTAAATAAATATGCAATCAAAGAAGAGAAATTCCAATTCTTTTACTGCATTAGCAGTTTCAACAAGAAGTATATTAAGACATGTTTAGTTCTATTAAAATGTGATATTTGCAAAACAGTTCTAGATTTGTCTTCTTAGAAATAAGTACATCCATGGAAGATTGCAGTCTCAGAGGCTGTTTTGCTTTACAACGCTTCATAGGGGCTCCTTGAATGAATGTTTATTAATCTATGTGAAATGATTTTCAGTCTGTCACCAGCAATTCGAGATTTTCCATTTAAGCATTTTTCAAATTTCTTGAAATCAGGCTCATTGTATTCTATTTTTAAAGCATATCAAATTAGCAGTAACAACAACAACAGTAAAATCTCAAAAGGTATGTTTCATGCCTTTCAGGACTCCCACAGAGCATTCATATATTTTGAGCATATGCAATCCCCATCAAAGACTATTCATATAAAGATCTCTCCCTTTGGTCTTGTAAAACTCTTTCCCCCCTCATATGAATTTCACCATATTTATATGTATTATAGATCCTGCAGATAGCTGTCACTGTATTGTGTGGGATGTGGTTGCATAAAAGTGATGGACATTTGCTAGGTATCATTTACAGTATCATTCATGGTAAGTGGTGTAACATTATCCCAATCCCTGGTTTTTTGTAAACTCGTTTTTTTCACAGCACATTCACTTCATTATCCTACCCCCATCACTGCAATGGCCTTGTGCTTAACTGCTGTTAGAAACAAGAACAGTTCCAAAGCACTCGTTCATCGACTTCTTCGAAGAGCTACAAGAGTAGCAGAGCTACTTTTCCTCTCTCCAAATAACTGTTAATTTTTTATTCTCCTGCAGTTTTGTGCAGTTTCTTTAAAATACTTTGTGGGATAGGTTTTGCCTCTCCTCTGCTGAACACACATTTATACACCTTTAAAAAATAAGGGCAGAATATGAGAGACCAGAACTCATTTGCTTCAACACCCACAACTAAGATGTAACTTGGGAACAGGACTGCCACATTGTTTTTGGCAACATTTATGTACCTTTCACAGGTACATGAGAGACATGAATTTAACAATTTCTCACTATTTCACAATTCTGGCAAGTCAGACCTGTCATAAGAGACACAGGAGCTGGAGGTGAGGGAGATGAGAGATAACAATACTAGAAACTTTTAACAACAAACCTGCCTCAGTGGTCTTGGGCCTATCGCCATCTCTTATGTAAAGAACACATTACATATATGAGGTGTGTTCAGAAAGTAATGAGAATGAATGAATGAATGAATGAATGAGCCCCTATGCTTCAGAAGGGCTCTGTGAAGGGAGAGTTGGCCAAAGTCACTTGGGATGGGGTGCCAGGTATGTATTAGAACTGTTCGATCAGTTGTATTCCAGCTCTGTCAGAGTCAAGAAGTCTTGTTTGTGCCACCTTGTTCAAGTGCCTCATATTAAGAATAATGCAAGCCTGTTTGGAACAGTGGTACGTGACAAAATTGTGTGAAATTGGGTAAAAGTGCATCAGAAACTTTGGAAATGGTGAGGAAAGCTTATGGAGAAACTGTGCTATCATCTGCACAAGTGTACTGATGGCACAATTTGCGATCTGCTCAACTTGGATCCTTCATCAAGACAATGCACCCATTCACAGTGCTTGGGTGTCAGAGAGTTTTTGGCTGAAAAACACATCACGGTGCTTCCTCTAGAGCCCTGACCCTAGAGCCCTGACTTAGCTCCTTGTGACCTTTTCATCTTCCCAAAGATGAAGAATGGGTTGAAAGGATACCATTTTGGTAGTGTGGATAACGTCTAAAGAGCCACTATGCAAGCTCTGAACTCCATCCCACTTGAAGACTTCCAGGAATGCTATGAAATACGGAAAAATCAATAGGAGCGTTGTGTACACTCACAAGGTGCATACTTTGAAGGAGGCAATGCCCAACGGTAAAAATTTTTAATAAAAGAATCTTTAAAATATCATTCTCATTACTTTCTGGACACACCTCACACACCTATCCAGACACTTACATCATCTGTTGAATTCCTTCTCCAGGAGCCATCCCTAAAGGAGGTAAAGAGTGTGGCAACAAAGGGAAGGGCCTTCTCTGCTGTGGTGTGCCATCTGTGGAAACAGCTCCCCAGGGAAAAACAGCTGGCACCAACATTATATGTGTTTCAGTGCCAAACATTATTTTCTCACTATAATTGCCGATTATGGTTTTATTGGCTTTTAAACTGTTTGATACAGGTGGAATGGTTATTATGTTGTTATAAATTGTTCTGTTGTTTTAGCACAGCCTGTCAAATTTTAAGTGGTTGTTCTAAGACAGACAAGTTTATTTTAAATTTGTTTTTAAATTATTGTTCTTTGATATATTTAAGTATATTCTGTGCTCTGTGCCAAGAACTTGTCTAATCAAACAGTACAGAAATACCTTAATTAATGAAATAAATCTCTCAGGCTAATCTACCTCATAGGGCTGTTGTTAGGATGTGTGTACTACTTTAAGCTTCTGGGAGGAAAGGAAGGACACATAAATCAAATAATGGTTGCACACTGAAGCAAACAAGAGAGCCGTGAAGCCAGCAAGAGAGTTAGACACACTTTCTTTGGACTAGCTGGAACAGAACCAATCCATATATCTTTACAACTCAAAACTACAGATTCAGAAGTAATTCAACTGTGTCCAATAGGACTTGTTCCTGCATAACTGTTGAGGACCACAGCAATTAACCAAAACACTGTATATTTGGCTCCACAATCATCAAGAGAGGTTAGCCTCCCACTTCACCTCAAAGCATGGCTTGAGAATGGCGCTCTCAGCCCTGCCACTCTGAGCAGAACCGAGAGTTAAATGAAGTAAGTTATTTGATCCTACATTATAGCCAAAGGAGACATTACTTTCACTGTGTATCTGGAAACCATGACCTTTTTGCTTGCTTACTCTAGAATAATTACAAAGGCCCGCATCCTGCCCCTAACGAGGGGATCGAGGCCTACACTTACTCTAGAGTAAAATGAAAACAAACCCAAAAGTGTTCGACATTTAAAATAATTCCAGATTTGCCTCCTACATTTAGATGCAGACAGGTTTAGCAAAGCGCACGGAGTTGGGGTAGTGGCGTGAAACGAGCCGGGAGCCTTCTGCCCTCCCACTCGCACGCTCCCTCCACACGAAGCAGGAGTCCCTCCTGCGCACCGCCTGCCCCGTTCCCTTTTGGGCCAGGACCTCGACGGCCCGCTCACGTCGGGAGCGGGCTGCAAAGAGGCACCCACCTTGCCGGGGCTGCCTCCGCGGTTGCTGCAGGTCATCGACCGCGGCCCAGCGGCGCCTCCTCCATGGCGGCAGCGCCGCAGCACTCGCTTCCTTCCTTTTGTTTACAGCCGTTCACCGGGCAACTGGGAATCCTTCCCTGCCGCGGACAGCGAGCTGGCGCCTCGGCTCTCCGCGAGCGGCCCTCCGAGCACAGCGCACCCTGCGGGAGCTCAGCGGATTGGCGCCGCGCTTCCCGCCGAGGTGGCGCTCCCGCTGCAAGCGGGCCGCCTTTCGAAAGGGAGGGGAGGAAGAGAAACTTTCTGTGCCGTCGTGGAGTCTGCACGCGCGTGTGCATTACTCGAACTCTCTGGGGCGCGGGAAGAGGGAGGCTGCAGGGGCATTTGCCCGTGGGGTTGGGCGCTGTCCCTGAAATTTACATTATTTCTGTGGGGAGTTGTGTCATCTAACACCCCACGTTATAACTAGAAACTGCAACCACTACCTGAGACCTGCGGACTAAGTCAACAAAAACCCTTGCCCTTGTAGAGCTGGTGTGCTCATTAAATCATTTACAAAAGAAGGGCTTACATGAACGCCCACTGAAGAGCCCTACACCCATGTGAGAGTCTTACCGTGTGGACGTAGCACACCATCCTGTGTTTGTTTAGAACCACTGGCTATTATCGGTGAATCTTGGAAAACAGGAGAAGTGCCAAACAACTGGAGAAGGGCCAATGCTGTCCCTATCTTCAAAAAGGGGGGAACAGATGACCCTGGGAACTATAGACCAGTTACTGTGACATCCAATCCCTGGAGAAATTCTGGAGAAAATTATTTAAAAAATCTATCTGCATGCACTGATTAATAGAAGCCAGCATGGAGTTATCAAAAATAAATCCTGTCAGACTAATGTAATCTCAGTTTTTGACTGGGTAACCTCCCAAATGGACAAAGGGAACACTGTGGACATAATCTACCTAGACTTTAGCAAAGCTTTTGACATAGTGCCACACAACATTCTGATAAGCAAATTAGTAAAAACTGGACTAGCTAGAAAAACTATTAGGTGGATCCAAACTTGGCTGCTGATTCAGACACAAAGAGTGCTCATCAATGGCACCTTCTCAAATTGGATGGAGGTAACTAGTGGGGTGCCACAGCGCTCAATCCTGGACTCAGTGCCCTTCAACATCTTTATTAATGATTTAGATGAGGAAGTACAAGGAAAGATAATCAAATTTGCAGATGATACAAAACTGGGTGGAATAACAAACACTCTAGAAGACAAAATGAAGATTCAGGGCAATCTTGACAAACTTGAACACTGGGCTGAAAGCAACAGAATGAGATTCAGTGAGGACAAGTGCCAAGTCCTTCACCTAGGAAAAAGAAACCAAATGCATTGATACAAGATGGGGAATATGTGGCTCAACAGAACTGAACAAGAAAAAGATTTCAGAGTAATTATGGACAATAGGTTAAACATGAGCCAACAATGTGATACAGCCACCAAAAGGTCAAATGCTACTTTGAGATGCATTTACAGAAGTATTACTTCCAAATCACAAGAATTAGCAGTTCCTGTATACTCACTAGTCAGACCTCACCTAGAATACTGTGTCTGGTTTTGGGCACCAATATTTAAGAAAGATGCAGGTAAATTAGAAAGGGTCCGGTGGAGGGCAACAAAAATGATTCAGGGTTTGGAAACACTGCCTTATGAGGAGAGACTGAAAGAACTGGGCATATTCAGCCTTGAGAAGACTGAGTGGGGACATAAATATCCCTCTATAAGTACCTCAAAGGCTGTCACATGAGGAAGGTCAAGATCTCTTCTTGCTGAGTGCAGGACATGGAATAATCAGTTCAAGTTGTGACAACCCAGATTCAGGCTGGATATCAGGAAAAGCTTCCTCACTGTCAGAGCAATAGGACAGTGGAACCAGCTGCCTAGAGAGGTGGTGGGCTCTCCCACACTAGAGACATTCAAAAAGAAATGAGACAGCCATCTGAGTGGGATGGTGTAATGTGGTGTCCTGCAACAGCAAGGGGGTTGGACTCGATGGCCTTCATGGTTCCTTCTGACTGTACTATTCTATGATTTATTTATTTAAAGCATGCATATCCATCTGTACCAGAATAGATCTCAAAGGGTCTCACAACAGTAACAGCACAATTAAAATACAATATAAAACATGTAATAAAATCCCATCTTAAAAATGCCATCAAACTTTAAAATACTGGCTGAATAAAAAGGTTTTGGCCTGCCACCGAAATGAATAAAGTGTCAGTGCCAGGCACAGCTCTCTAAAAAGCAGGTTCCAGAAACAAGGCTGTACAGACATACTTACCCTCAGCAATGTTTAATCAGGCTTTTCCTGATGTCCCAAGTCATGGGGTGCTCTTTTCTCATAAAACACTTCAACAGATGACATAGTTCGGTGTTGGAGAGGGGATGTTCCACTAAACACCCATATTTTCAGTACCAGAAGCATTTTATTTTTCTTAATTTGGAGGAGCATATTTGCATGCTTATGAAGAGGATGCAAGCGAATCTTTGTCAATGGGAAGAGCACATGATTTGCCTGCATTGCACAACCCTTTGACAGCTTCAGATACTTGCTTTCCAGTAGTTTAAAGTGTTTTTGACTGCTTCTTCCCCTCTTTGCCAGTCTCATTTAAAGGCATGTCTGGGCTCTGTGTGTGCATTTTAAATACTGTAACCACCCTGGACTCCATTTTGATGAAGGATAGAAAAATATTTCACTTAATAAGCCTTGCTAGGTAACAGCCAGCTTCAGCTGATAGGAAAAATGTATATATCCATACACATATGCATGCAGAAATGACAATGTAATCTTGAGAAGCAATTAGTGCAATTATATTGGACAGACTGTAAAATATGAGTTCTAATCCAAACTTATTATATCATAGAATGCCTTTATTGAACAAAAGTCTTGCAAGAACAACAAATAGCAACCCTAGCATACTTATTGCAGAACCAGCTTGAAATAACATGAACAACATCAAAGAATCTGTATGTAAAACTATAAACATCATAAAAATGCTCTTTAAAAAGATGGACATAGATAATAGCCACTAAAAGTTTAAAATCAGGAGGGTGGCAGGAATACATGGGCAGTTTCTTCCAAACTGTTTGTAAATTTCAAACTTATATACATTTTTATACTATACTAGAATATTATTCTTATAGACAGCGTTAATAGTATATGCAACGTACATGATGAAATGGAATTCCTTTCATTTCTTCCCGATGATCCCGAGCATAGTCCCATAGGTAATAATCAAGGAAAACTGCATTGATCTTCCCACTCATATCCTCACCTTTCTTTTTATAAAGGTCCAATAAGCAATTACAAATGAGGTCACAGCACCAAATAGAGCAACCTCGGATCTCCACTTCCTGTTTATCTCCAGATTGAAACATGTGCCCTGCAGGATACAGAAGGTATCAGTGAAATTAATATGATTGGGTAAAGCTGAACAAAAGAGTTGTTTGAGTCAAGGGATTGGTTCCCATGATGAAACATCCCAACATTGCTTAACCCTTGCAGAACCTCTCTGCCTGGGGTTTGCACAAGCTGTGCCCAGCCATTGAATATTCCACACCTACCCAACATATGCCACAATTTAAATTTTAGTAGGCTATTTTGATCATGTGTACTGGCTCAATGTGTACTTAATGATTTGTATGTATTTATTTATTTAAATCAGGTTGATTCAGATTATATAGTTTCAATGAAATAATCTGCAAAAGCTTTATTAAACTATTAAAATGACACAAACTAACAAAGGTAAATAGTGAAGTGTTATGTCATGAACGACAAAATTATCAGCAAGGCCAGCCCTAAGAGTCCTAGCCAATCCTCTCCTTATAGCTCTATAATCATCTTAAATCCAATATAATATAGTACTGATATACAGAGATATACAGATAGGAGTGTTTGTACATTCATATAACAGTATTTAACATCAAAAAGGAGGCGTATGGACTGAGGAAGCTCTACGGAACCTTTAGTCCAAGGACTGTCAGCACTTGAAAGTTTTGACAGCACAGCCAGTCAACACTCCTGTTTCAGTCCAGCTCTTTTTTCTTGCTGTTAGCTAGCGTGTATATCACAGAAGTGAGGGAAACAGGATACACATATTCCTCTCTAAAACTGGCAGCAAGGAACTGTTTAAAAAGATTTGTTAACCAAAACACTTGATTTTTTTCAATTATTTTTGCTGTTGATGGAAAAGGCTCTCAACCAGGCAAAGGACATGATTTGAACGATAGAACTGTAAAAAAAAAATGTTTATATCCATTGCACAGTACAAATTCCTCGTGCTCTTGTTTTCCTACAAATGATTTTAAAAAGAACTTTCCTTCCCTTACTACAAAACAAGGAAGTTCATTGCACGAACTAAAACTCAGGGCTATACAAAATTTGGCACAGAGTAATCAGAAGAGCCCTTTCCCTTCCTTTTTATTATTCTTCACTACAGAAACAGGAAAGAAAGAAATGTTAATTACATTTCCAGTTTAGCATTTTACATCATCATCACAAATGGATTTTTATGTTTACGAAAGGGGTGTTTATAATACAAACAAACTTGCTCAGACAATGTAAGAATTCTCAATTATCCTGAATAATTTCATACCTTCTTTGAGTTTTTTCATCAATTCATCAGAATATTTCATTGCTCCTAAGTAAACAAGCACCTGGGGTATCCGATAGTCAGCAAATATAGTCACACTGGAAATGTCACTGAAGCAGCCATCTCCCTTTCCTTCCAGCACACTCCAAGTATCAGCTACAAGAATTTGAGCCCGCTTGTAAAAAGCTACTTTTCTACCCTGATAGACAAAAGAAAAATATTATAATTTATTAAGATTTATTTCAATACGCATTAGTATGAAGACATCTCCAACAATGGCAGCAACTGTTCCAACATCCCCCAAAAAACTACAAGTGTACATCACAGAGATCTCTATGAATATTTTAGACAGAGTAAATTGAAGCTATATTTGTGATAGAGTTGTGTATGTGCTTAATTTCACACTTGCTTTTCTGCTGTATATAATGGATTATAATCTGCAAACATATACTGAGCTGTATTTCTTAGAACGCTGAAAAATAACTATGAAAATAGACCACCAATGAACTCCGAAGGGATCTCACCAAGCTGGGGAAATAGGCATCTAAATGACCAATGTAGTTTGATTTAAATAAGTATAGAATAATGCAAGTTGCAGGGGAAAAATCCCAATTATAAATACTTGCTGATGGGATTGGAACTTGCAGCAAAAGAGCAAGAAACAGATTTTGGGGTGGTAGTGGACAACTCAATGAAAATGTTGGCCCAGCACATGGCCACTGTAGAAACAGCAAACTCCATGCTAGGCAGAATTACAAATGAACAGAAAAAAGAGCTGTCAATATATTACTTCCCTTGTACAAATCCTTGGTGTAATTGCACTTCAAGTATTGTGTTCAGTTCTGGTTGCCTCACCTCAATAAGGACATCACTGAATTGGAAAATATACAGAAAAGGGCAACAAAAATGATCAAGGAGCTGAAGCATCTCTCCTGGGGAGTGGCTACAAAACCTAGGAATGTTCAGGATGAGTAAGGACAAGCATGATAGAAGTGTTTAAAAGAGGGAGGCCTTTTTCTCCCTTTCTCACAACACTCAAACCTGGGGTCATCTGATGAAGCTGACTGGGGAAAAGTTTAGGACAGACAAGAGAAAGTACAATATATAGTTAAACTATGGAATGCACTGTCATGGGAAATCATGACGGTCACAAATCTGGAAGGTTTAAAAAGGGATTGAACAAGTTCTTGGAAGTAGAGACTACCTGTGGCTCCTAGCATTACTGGCTACCTCCTTAACCAGAGGTGGCATGCCTGCATACACCAGCTGATGAGAAACTTGGGCAGGCAAAGGTCTTGCACCAGTCTTTCTTAAGGGATCCTGTGAGCAGCTGGTTGCAACCATGTGTATGGACTAGATGGACCTTAGGTCTGATCTGGCATGGCTTTTCTCTGTTTCTTCAGTGCTGCAGACATTCTGGTCTAAATGGATAATCTCATTGCCCTCAGAACCACAGTGCTCAAGTGCTATATCAAAATATCATACGGATTAAATGTTTTCCAGACCTACACAGCTTTTGGTTACACATTTCTCCTCATATATTCTATACTTTTACAAAAAAAAGTCACCATAGATTTTAAAAATCTATTATCAGCATTTGGAGGGACCTAAAACATTCGTACCTTTTATTTACTTACATATATTTTTAAATATTGAATTTGTGCAGATTATTTTAAAGACAGAAAATGTGCAAAGTGATAGGCAGGAAACTAGTTATCAGGGTGTATAAAATTATTTTTAATCATAAGTTTTAGGGGGGTTTATATAAATAAGTTTCTTTTAGGGCACACACCCTCAGTGATCATAATCCCCTCAATTCAGATGCTTACTGTTTTGTATAAATATTATGTCATTCTGGGAGAAATGGCAGAGCCAATTTTTGCTTCCCAGTCCTTGTGTGCCCTGCGTTTTTCACTGAATGGGCTGTTTTGCCAATCTAGCTGGAATAGTGTGGGGGGGGGGGGGCCAGGGAGGAATAACTCATATCCTGGCCTGTCCAGTCTTCTACCCTACCTGCCCACCAAAATGCCCCCATCTCCTCCTCTTCAAGGCTCTTTCTACACCACCTGCAAGGGAGCAAGAAAGGTCAGTCAGTTCTTTGATTCCCCACTCTAAGGTCAGAAAACTATCTCTGACCTTGGATCAAGGAACCCAAACTATCCTAAAGCTCCCCAGATACTGTCTAGAGTCTACAGGAGTACTCCCTCCATGAATAGCTCAAGAATAGTGTAAAAATACTAGTGTTATAAATAAAATACCCTGAATGTTAGACTGACAGGTACTGAAGTGAATCAATGCCCCTTTTAGAAGCATTACATTAAACTACTCTTCTCCTTGTAAGTGAAGACCCAATTTGAGCATTTCTCAAATATTGTATTTTCCACTTTGCCTACCAAACATAGGTATTTCATTTTCACTTGGTGGAAATGGAATGCTCTAGTTTGTCCAGTAATGATCAAACATTACTTCTACCGATTAGTCATGGACATTTTAGTTCATACCTTGTTCTTTTAAGAAAAGTACTGGGCCACAGCCAAGTAATACATTAAAAATCAACTCTGCAAAAGAGCACAGAAAACAACACTGTCCAGTGTTCAGCTTCATTTATTTTCATACTTAACCTCACAGACTCTCATGATTACCAGTCATAAGCAGAGATGAGAAGGTCCAGGAAAAAAGCTGAAACATTGTGGGTGGGAGGAAATCAAGGCCTTCCTTGGACACAGAAGGAAAGACTCTGGATCCAAGTCTCTGCTAATAACGCACAGCCAAAACAGGCCAATTGAGCATGGTATTTTAGTTCATAATATTTTCCAAGGACTGAAACCAGAGACATTATTAGGGAAGTATGTAAAAAGACAATTCCTGTAGCAAAAAGGAAGAAAAGCTTAGATGGGTTACAGAACAAACACTCATAATGGCTAAGGGCAGGTGAGAAACAAAAGTAAAAGGTGACAGAAATTGGGTCAGAATCTTGACTACAACTTTTCAATGATTATCACACAGAGACGAGGACTAATGCAAGGAAACAGAAGAGAACTACAGAAAATAAATACTGAGAGACTTCTTCCAGAAGATCCAAGAATTCAAAGTGAAATTGAAACTTAGTTTGTTGTTGATGTTGTTGTTCGTCGCAAAGTCATGTCCAACCCATCGTGATCCCATGGACAACATTCCTCCAGGCCTTCCTGTCCTCCACCATCTTCCGGAGTCCACTTAAGCTCACACCAACTGCTTCAGTGACTCCATCTAGCCACCTCATCCTCTGCCGTCCCCTTCTTCTTTTGCCATCTATTGTTCCCAGCATTAGACTCTTCTCCAGGGAGTTCTTCCTTCTCATTAGGTGGCCAAAGTATTTGAGTTTCATCTTCACTATCTGACCTTCTAAAGAGCAGCCAGGGTTGATCTCCTCTAAGACTGACTGGTTTGATCACCTTGCGGTCCAAGGGACTCTCAGGAGTCTCCTCCAGCACCACAATTCAAAGGCCTCAATCCTTTGGCGCTCAGCCTTCCTTATGGTCCAGCTTTCACAGCCATACATTGCAACTGGGAAAACCAGAGCCTTAACTATACGTACTTTTGTTGGCAGGGTGATATCTCTGCTTTTTAGTATGCTGTCTAGATTTGCCATAGCTTTCCTCCCCAGGAGCAAGCGTCTTTTAATTTCTTGGCTGCAGTCCCCGTCTGTGGTAATCTTGGAGCCCAGGAAAATAAAATTTGTCACTACCTCCATTTCTTCCCCATCTATTTGCCAGGAAGTGAGAGGTCCAGATGCCATGATCTTAGTTTTCTTAATGTTGAGTTTCAAGCCAACGTTTGCACTCTCCTCCTTCACCTGCATCAAGAGGCTCTTTAGTTCCTCTTCACTTTCTGCCATGAGAGTGGTATCATCTGCATATCTGAGGTTGTTGATATTTCTCCCAGCAATCTGCATTCCAACTAGTGATTCATCTAGCCCCACCTTTCTCATGGGGTGCTCTGCATATAAGTTAAATAGGCAGGGCGACAGTAAACAACCTTGCCAAACTCCTTTCTCAATTTTGAACCAATCAGTGGTTCCGTGTCCAGTTCTCACTGTTGCTTCTTGACCCGCATATAGGTTTCTCAAGAGACAAATAAGATTGTCTGGTACTCCCATCTCTTTAAGAACTTGCCACAATTTGTTGTGATCCACACAATCAAAGGCTTTAGCATAGTCAATGAAGCAGAAGTAGCTGTTTTTCTGGAACTCCCTAGCTTTCTCCATGATCCAGCATATGTTGGCAATTTGATCTCTAGTTCCTCTCCCTCTTCAAAATCCTGGCTGTACTTCTGGTAGTTCTCAGTCCACATACTGCTGGAGCCTAGCTTGTAGGATTTTGAGCATAACTTTGCTAGCATGTGAAATGAGTGCAATGGTGCGGTAGTTTGAACATACTTTGGCATTGCCCTTCTTTGGGATTGGAATGTAAACTGACCTTTTCCAATCCTGTGCCCACTGTTGAGTTTTCCAAATTTGCTGGCATATTGAGTGTAGCACTTTTACTGCATTGTCTTTTAGGATTTTGAATAGCTCAGCTGGAATACTGTCTCCTCCACTAGCTTTGTTGTTGCTCAGACTTCCTAAGGCCCATTTAACTTCACATTCCAGGATGTCTGGCTTGAGGTCAGTGACCACCCCATCGTGGTTGTCAGGGACGTTAAGCTCTTTCTTGTATAGTTCCTCTGTGTAATCTTGCCACCTCTTCTTAATCTCTTCTCCCTCAGTTAGGTCCCTGCCATTTTGGTCCTTTATCATGCCCATCTTTGCATGAAATGTTCCCTTCATATGTTCTAATTCTTTGCCCTGTTCATTTAAGAAGGCATTCTTATCTCTTCTAGCTATTCTCTGGAATTCTGCATTCAATTGTTTGTATCTTTCGTTTTCTCCCTTGCCTTTCGCTTCCCTTCTTTCCTCAGCTATTTGTAAAGCTTCCTCAGGCAGCCATTTTGCTTTCTTGCATTCCTTTTTCTTTGGGATGGTTTTAGTTGCTACCTCCTGTACAATGTTGCGAACTTCCGTCCATAGTTCTTCAGGCACTCTGTCTGTCAGATCTAATTCCTTAAATCTATTTGTCACCTCTACTGTATATTCATCAGGAATATGATTTAGGTCAAACCTGTGTGGCCTAGTGCTTTTCCCTACTTTCTTCAACTTAAGCCTAAATTTTGCAACCAGAA